TCACAGGATTTTACTGTAAAGAGTAGTGACTGTATGTTTTGTAGGAGAACGTGGCAGCCAATCTGCACTCCGCAGTGAGCCATGAAGTGAATAATCATTTTTAATTGGGGGCCCAAAGAGTGAAATCTCCAACAATGCAGCACACCCTCAACACTGCACTGGTCAGCCTAGGCTATGTGGAGTTCAGAGTCCCAACATGGGCCTTGAACCCACAATCTTCTGACTTACGAGGTGAGAGTTGCTGCCAACTGAGCCAGGCTGAAAAGCACTCTTCCCTTCTGCACATCAGAGGACCAATTCACTCAGCGTGTTGGTCTGAATAACATCTCTAAACGCAAGTGCCCCCATTGGGACTCGGATTTAAAAACACAGAGCCCATGCCTTTTTATTTCGTTTAATTAAAACAAATACTTTTTGCTCCAAGGGACACTTGCTTGAACAATCGCGACTGTGCCTGCTTAATTGAGGGGCGGGTTGACTGGACTGGAACGGACAGGCAATTGTGAAGCAACCTCGTGTTTTGACGGCTCTCTCACACTGTAACCCTTCCAAACCCCAGCCCCCAGGGATGTCAGAAAGAGCATAGAAAGATGCAGACCCTAAAGCTTTGTACGTGAAGTCCTGATCATGAGAAGAGTTCACCATTGTAGGTCCTGAGTTCAGGTGGGTTTAATAATAATAATCATCACCATCATCCTTGCATTTATTATAGAGCCTTATCACATCGTCGAGACGTCTCAAAGCACTTCACAGAATATATTATAAAGTGAAATGACTGTATACTTCATGGGTGAAACTCAGCAGCCAATTGCACACAGCAGTGTCCCAAAAACAGTCATTAAGTGAGTGTCCAAATATTTTTTTGAAGGTTTGGTTATTCTACAGAATAAAAGCTGTATTCCTCCCTGATTTTTCCCCTTCTGAAATTTATATTAAATTCGCTGTGGGTAAACTGGTCCTTTATGTACTGTATTCCTCAAGATGCCTGGAACACATTTTAGTCACAGAGCCCTGCTATTCTAGTGCCACTTGCTGCACGCTACATTTGTTCTGCACGAGTGGTGATATTGACAGACGGAGCTTTCCTGGGAGCAGGGAGTGCTGTGAGAATGCTGCCAAGAGGCATCTATTGCTTCAAATGGGTATTGAGAAGTCACTTGGAGGAGCAGGTTTCTATTGATGCTGATTTGCATTCTCTAGCCGAGCCAGGTGCCAGATCGCTCAATGGCTGATGATGCAACTCTGCCCATAGAGATCTCAAATAAACAACCATAGCAGGTGACATTTACTTAATGCGTTCCAAAAAAAAACCACTAGTAAGGGCAGCTCCGCTCTGAGCTCAACGTGCTGTGTGACTCCTGAACTAACTTGCCAACTTGGGAGAAGTAAAGAGTGATTGGAGAGAATGAAATGAGGCAAACTTTAAATCCTCTGAACCGCTGTGTTTAATAGAAGCTTCTTTCGGTGAGTAAGGGACTATTATGTTGAAGCAGGGGCAGTTGTAGACTTGCACTTGTAGACTGCAAATCAGTAACCTTTTGATCCATCAGAAGGAGCTCTCTGGAGAAAAGCTCTTCAATGCTGATACTCACCTGCCTTACGCTTTATTATCAAGCACTCTGGGACGCCCGAGGGACGCTATATAAATGCAGGTTGTTGTTATTTATTGATGCTTTGTTTCCTGTCAGTGGATATTTCTGCTGGAACAGAGACCAGGTTTTTATTTGAATATGTCCAAGCAATGATGTTTCACAAATGTGCCCAGTGATGTGAATAGATGCTGCTCCGCAAAATTCTTAATCGCGGAACTAAAGCAAAATACAGAAGCTTGTTCCCGTTGCCGTGCTGGCCAACAATCTCCCAAATAAAATTGGTCATTCAGTTCATGGCCGTTTGCGGGATATTGCTGTATGCAAATTGATCACTGTGTTCGCCTGCAAAATACAGTCACCAGACTTTACAATATATCTTGTGAAGCACTTTGAGGCAATCTTCTGAAGTGAAAGGCGCTATATCAAATATAAGAATTATTATTACTATTCAGAGGTACCTTCCTGATGTTGGATTGGTATTGGAAAAGAAACATATAAGGATACCGGAACAGAACATGTCTGTGGGATTGGAGTAGAGAGGATCTGCAGTGGAGGAGGCAGCAACAGCATAGATTCAGTATAACACAATTTCTGTTTACATAACACCTTTAACATCCAGAGGAAGTCTCAAAATGCTGGATGGGCCCAAACTGGGGGTGGGAACTGAAGGGGGGATACATGACCGAAGTCGCTGTCAGAGATATGATTTTATATATACTTTGAATGAGGTGAGGGAGGGAGCGAGTTGGAGGGATTACCGGATAGATTTCCAGAGAATATGGTTTATGGTGGGGTGGATAGGGCAGGAACATGTACCAATTTGTTCAAGTGGCCGAATGGCCTCCTCCAGTGCTGTGATCAGTATGAACCTATGATCCATTGTAAGTTTCTCATTGTTTCTGAGAGTTTGTCTCCAAGCCCTTTGCAGTATTTACTGTCATGTGTAGCAACTTTTATTTTCCAGCCAAACACGACACCTGTTTTGCATAGCGAAAGCCCCATAGCAGTCGCGAGACAAATAACCCGTCAAACTGGTTAATGGCAGCCCAGAACACTGGGAGGAAACTCCTTTCTCTTTTTCGATGGGATTAATCGCCAAAATAACAATTAGATGGGACATCAGTTTAATAGTGTTGCAATGAAAGTTCCATAGTCTTTCCAGTTTATCCCTTTCCCTCCAGTAGTTACCCCAACGCACGCTCTGGGAAGCCTGAGCCTTGGCTCTTGCCAACCTCCGCCTAATCCTTTCTGCTATGAGGTAAGCAGGTGCAGCCCTCCAGGGAGAGAGAACGCATTTCATTCTCCAACAATCTATCTCAGGGATTGCCACGCGTAGGTGGGATTCATGTAAATCTCAGCTTGGTTTGGATACTCAACCATGGTGTTGGGTTTCTGCATGTTTCAGACACCTGGCTGACCAACACGAAAATCCCCTTTAATGTTCCTCTGTTTCCTTGTACATAGAATGAGACTATAAATAGGAATGAAAATTAAACCAGGAAAGAAATTGAGAACCTCCTGCAGTCCAGATCCACGAGGAGAAGTATTGATACGTTTTAACATGACAGGGTGTGGAAACACGAGAGCGTGCCGAGCTAAACTCTGAATCTTCAGAGCTTGTTGAAACAGTTTAAATGAGCTGAGACTCGGAGCAGCGAGTAGAACCACATTCTGCAAGGCGTGGTTAATTAAATTACAAAGATTCACAAAAAATATGCAGCATGGAAACAAGCCACCGAGCTCAACCAGTCTGTGAGGATGTTTATGCTAAACGCAAATTTTCACACATTCCTTACTCCATTCCATATCCGCCTATGCCCGTCTCTCTCATGTGAAGGTCTGGCTTCCTCTTGAATACATTTAGTGCTTTGTGATGCTACCCGGTGTCAGGGGGCTGTATAAATTCAAGTTGTTGTTGTTGTCTCCCGCCCGACCCTCCCTACCATCGTTGGCCGGGCTTTCAGCCACTCTGCCCCCACACTCTGGAACTCCATCCCACGGTCCCTTCGCCTCGCGTCCTCCCTCGCCTCCTTCAAGGCCGGTCTCAAGACCCTTCTCTTCGATCGTGCTTTTGGTCGCCCTTCCACCTCTCTGCCTTCCCTCACTCCTACCCCACCCCTCCCCCATGCTCGGGCCCCGACACCTGACTGTTCAGCGCTTTGGGACATCCCCCCGACTTGAAAGGCGCTCTATAAATGTAATTTTGTTGTTGAATCTGCATTATCTGAATCAACCACCGCTTTAGACAGTGACATCCACAATCTCACTACCCTCTGCATGAAGCAATTCCTCCTAAATTCTCTTCTGGATTCCCTAGTGGCTATGTTATATTTGTGTCCCCTAGTTACAAACTCCCCAACCAGTGGAAACTATTCATTACTAAAAACAGTCTATTTGTGTTAATGGGGTCACCAGTGCTTGTCTGAGTGAAGTACTGAAGCTTTGTTTTCATGTCAAAATGGCAGCGAGTTGCAATACTGCTCCTTGTGGAGGGGAGGAAAGAAAGAAAATGTAACGAGCGCTAAGTGACAGTCAGGTATGAGAGGTTTAGGCTTTCTGTAGGTGCAAAGTGAAGGTAGAATAATGACCAACCGGACATAGGTTACACTGTAAGTAGTCTGACATTAAAGTCTCCTGAGCTGCAGTCACAGTTTCCGATCTCCGCTAGATTTAGTCTAGAGTATGGCAGGGGAGAGGCATGTTTTACAGTGCATCTACTGTGTTGCTCATCCCGTGCCTGTTTACAAACCCATCACAGACCTTTTTTTTTGTCGAGCCTTTGCTGAGCTTTTACTGAAGCGTGAAACTTAAAAGCCTCTTTCTGCGAGGAGGCAATCCTTTCGTAAATCCAGGAATATTTATAAAATATATCTCTTGGGCAGAAGTTATTTTCTCTGCTATTGTCACAAGACACCAAGCATTCACAGGAGACTCTCCCTCTTGGGTGCATTTGTCTCTGTTGGTTGTTTTAAGATGACTGTATACTGGTTTCTAACCCAATTGCACTTAGCAATTTTGCTACAAAATATACAGTCATTACGCTTTACAGTACATCCTGTGAAGGGCTTTGAGGTGTCGTGCCAACCTGAAAGGCGCTATATTAAATATAAGATTATTATTATTATTGCAAAGCCTGATCACAGTGCATGAAAAGGAGCCCAAAGTGAATGGCAGGATAATGAGAGATTCCCTTCAGGGACTTTTGATCTAATCTTTGCAGAAAACCCACTATACCTTCCTCTCATTACAGCCTTAAACTATTTCTTAAATGTGTCCAGCCTCCTCGCCTCAACTGCCCTTCTTGGTAATCTCCTCTAGCTGTGAATTTTGCAGTTAAGCCTTTATTGTAAAAGCAATGGTGATGTGCAAAGCAAGCATTGGAGCTAACCTCTTGTCCTCTTCACTTAGGGACCAAGGGGAGCAGCACGTTGTGTGTACAAACCATTTACCACGCTGACTCAGAATGTGCAGATTTCAGCAGTTTAGACTGCTTCTCTGGAAGAACTATCTCTTGCAGGTAATTCTATACAGTTCATGCAGCCGTATTACCAGCCAAGGCGTGTGTCAGTGGGGAGAAAATTAGAAAATATTTTTAAAAAGTGACGGAACAAACGCGAGTGCTCATTTTTTCTAATCTTTTATTACCTTTTCATGTCTTGCAGAAACGCCAGGTTTTGATCAGCATCATTGAAATCGGACTTCCACTTCTATTTGCCTCCATCCTTATTGGTCTGAGACAGCAGGTTGTCAGCGAGGAGCATCCCTTTCCCACTGTGTATCCCAGTTTTTTCATTGATAAACTTCCAAACATTCGCCATTCCTATAAAGCTAAATGGAGCTTTGTCTACGTCCCATCCAATGTGTCTGCAGTCCATCACATTGCAAAGAAGGTGGAAACTGTTCTCGCACCCAAAATTAAAGGCAAGTCTTCAGCTCAGGATTTTGTACATTGTAATCTGCTTTTTGTTTTCAGAACAAATCTGGGGAAACACTACTTCAGTGAGCGAGTAGTAAGCGTATGGAACAGGCTCCTTAGGGAGATGGTGGAAGCAGAAAGTGTTGATTCTTTCAAAAACAAATTAGATAGATTTCTTTTAGGAAACAATACCTCGGGAAGACAGTAGATAGTTTGGGATATGAAATGTGCAAGCGACTGCCAGGATGGTGGAAGGCGAACCAGATGGACCTTGTTCTTCTTTCGACTAGCAAATTCTTATGTTCTTATGCTTTTCTTTCTGAGACATTTATTGTGAACTAGCTGTACCTGTTGCAGCTTTGCTTGCAACCAAAGGATCCAATATGCAATGTAGATTGAACACAGACAGACATTTCATCTCTATCTATATTCATCTGGGAGGACTCCTGTAGGAGGAGTTTGTTCTTCAGTTTCATTTAATGGGCCTTCTCTCTCTTGTTCAGCATTTTTACTTATCCTTGAAAGGTTTGATATTCACTCAGGCATCTTTATAATGATAAATATTAATGTATAATTTATAATCACTGGGGCGTCTTCCCAACGTGAAAAGTGCTTTAAAAATTTAATTTTGTTGTTGCCGCGGTTTAGCTTAGTTTGCGTTCTTTATTTTGTTCCCGTCACGTGGCTACGTGCATACTCTGTCACGCAGGATGCCACAGCGTCACAGTCAGCCACCACAGCCACCAGGTGGCACTACAGGGGGTGAGTACATATATACGTGCTCTGTGACGCACGATGCCCCAGTGCTACTTTGGCACTCGGTAGCCACTGAGTGCAGCAAAAAACTGAAATAACCAATGTACAATAGGAGATATCTGAAAATAAAATATGCCCATGTCACTCCCAGATGCAAGGTCTTTCCGATGAGTTATAAATCATGTCTCTATGTCAATTGGTTATTGAGATCCTTCTTGAAACGCCACAGATGTTGTTTTATTTGTACAAATATAATAATAATAAAAGATGAGAGATAAAAGATGAATTGTATTTCCAGATGTATCTGTTTATAAGAAAGCATCAAGTGCTTACCAGCTGCTGAATTACCTCAACTGCATTGTTGACAATCTGATAATGTCCAGATAACTGCTCTGCAGATTTACAAACCCACACGGTGATCTGAAAGTGCAGTGTTGCATTGCACTGCACTTTACAATCTGAGTAATCTCCCCAATATCAGGTCCTCACTAAACTCTATGTGTGCAAATGTGCATTTTGTGTCACCTGCCACAGCTAGTAGCATTTTTACCTCTTCAGAACCTGAGACAAGATTCTTTGCTCCAAACACCTCTGTTTACCCAGCAGTAAGTAGGAACCCAGTTGTTAGTTGATTGGCGGATTGCTTCAAATACACAGTCATATCGTCTTAACATAGTGCGTGGTGAGAATCTGGAACTCACTGCTGGAAGCTGTGGGTAAGCAAATATCATTGTATTTACGAGAGAACTTGATGCATACATGAGGGAGAAAGGATTGGGAGGGGTGGAGATGAGCGTGGCATGGATTAGTTGATCTGAATTGCTTGTTTCCGTACAATGTTACTGTGTAACTATGATGCTATGATGATGTTAAAATGAAAGTATTCAAGAATGAGTGTCTGGACTAAAGCTGTGTTTTTTTTTGTCCTTTAGCCTTGGGCTTTGAAACGGAAGCTGAATTTAATACTTATATGAAAGCAGAAAATGTGTCATCGCTGCTTGTGCTGGCAGCTCTGGTGTTCGATCATGACTTCAAGGAGAAAGACGAACCTTTACCAAAGCAGGTACATGAGCCATGCTGGATGGAGGGTGTCAGTGCATCCTTTAACCCAAACCACATTCCACATTATTCACAGTGATGTGGCAGAGAGGTCACAGTGGCAAAGTTGAGGCTTGCCCTTTGCTACCACAGTCTGTAATTCTCTATAATTAGGCTCGCTGGTTGCCAAATTCAATTGGTGAAAATCAGTATCCATTGGGCTTTTGTGATCCTTCTACAAATTCAGGACAATTTGTTCCCATTGTTCACCATTTTTTCCCCACATATTTTTAATAATTTTACAACAACAACAAAATTATATTTGTATAGCGCCTTTCATGTCGGGAGGACGTCCCAAGGATGCTGGACAGAGAGAGTTACGGACCCGAGCTGAGGGTTGGGATGGGGGAGGGCAGGGGGGGAAGCAGGGAGATCGAAAGCACGGTCGAAGAGGAGGGTCTTGAGATGGGTCTTGGAGGGGCGAGGCGGAGGGACTGTGGGATGGAGTTCCAGAGGGTGGGGGCAGAGTGGCGTAAGGCCCGCCCACCAACAGTGGGGTAAACGAGGTGGGGGGTGTGAAGCAGGCCGGAGCCCACTGAGTGGAGGGAGCGAACAGGATGGTAGGAGTTTTTAGGAGGTCGCAGAGGTTGGGGGGACCAAGATCGTGGAGGGCTTTGAAGGTGAGGACCAGGATCCTGAACTGCATCCTCTGTGTGAGACAAAAAGAGACTACTTCTGTTGTGTATCTCAATAGGAAGTGCCCTGCGAGATGCTGCGTGATGCACAGAAAGTAACATCCATGGTGACCTTACGACCTGGAAATCACCCATTTTGTAGTGGCCAAGATTGCTAGAAATTCAGATTTCAAAAAATTAAACTTTAATAAATGTCAATGTTATCTGTCAAATTAAAAGTAAAAACTGACAGCCCTATTACTTATCTGTGGTTACCCCAGTCTCTAATGCTTCATAACGCAGCTTCTGTGCAAAGAAATAAATGTCGATTTAAATGAGTTTTGTACTTCAAAGACTTTATTTGATTGCAGAGACTGCTTACACTCAGCACTTTATTTCCCTATTGAAAGTGAAAAATGTGCATGAGGAAAATAGGCATCGCATCTGGACAAGAAAGATCCATTATTCCCAACCTCTTGCTCCCAGTTGTCTGTCAGTGGGAGTTTATAAAGGGATGTGGTGTGTTGAATAATGTGATTAAAGCCAGCATTTTCCTGGAAATTGGAAGCAGACTTGTCCAAGAATTTCTTTGTTGTAAGCCATATTCCCTTGATCCACGATTACAATGGTTCAGATTATACATTCACATCTCAGAGTATTGCATTACCCTCTGTAAAGCTGCGCTACCCAACATTACCATAGGGGTGCTCCCTATTAGAAATGGGCTTTAACTATCTCCTCCGCTCTCAGATGTTGCACTGTACTCAATTAGCTTAACTTTAAGTTCAATTAGTTTAAAATTCTGGCTGGTTTGGGTTACCGAGAAGATTAGCAGAGGCTGAGATGAGGGTCTCGTTTAAGAAGCCATTTTATTGCTGCAACAGGAAAACGGGATGGTGGGTGTTGTTGTTGTTGTATGAGATTTAGGCAATGCAGGTGGCACTTTAAGGGTTAAAATAATCCATAGTAGTAATTGCTGACACAATGAGTAATGAAATCCATTGCTGGTCATCACTGGGACATGTACTCCCTTTACTGTTGCTTTTGGTATATTTTACATGTGTTTTTATGCTTAGTTTGGCAGCTTTACGACTTAAATCTCACATGTAAACTGAATGCAGACACTACAGGATTGAACCTTCAGTTTAAGGCCTGGAAATGACTTGCTGAATGCTGACACTGGGTCACAAGCAGCAGAATAAGATATAATGGACTCAGGTTCAGGGCTAAGTCACGAAGCACATTGGGAGATGATGGTCTGTGCTCCAGTGTGATCCCAGTTTAAATACAGCCCCAGGAAATGAGATGCAGGTTCCATTCCAAGGGAAATGAACTTGGTTCAGATCATCTTCATCTGTCCCCTGTACCTGTGCCTGCAGTGCAGGCAATGAGTGTCTGGAGTTAGTGTTAATAGGATATTCTTGCTCTGAGAGCATCACGGGAGGAGAGCACAAGAGATATAGCACAAGAGATATGTATTTGGTGCCTGTGTGTGATTGTGTGGTTGAAGCACATTCAACAGCAGCTTATAATAAAAATAATAATAATCCTTGCATTTGATATAGCGCTTTTCACGTCTTCTAGATGTCCCAAAGCGCTTCACAGAATAAGGTTTCGCCCTGTGGGAATCAAACCCAGCTCTCTTGCTTGCAAGGCGAGTGCTCTAACCACTGAGCTACAGGACTCCACTGTATTTGTATGGTGCTTTTTATCCATTTGTAGATCTCCAAGTGTTTTAAAGGGTCTGCACGGGACAATGAGGAAAGTGGGGAAAAAGAAGGGGAGGGAGTCAAAGAGTTAAGAATTTTGAAAATGGGGTGTGAGGTGGAGAGATTTTGGGAGGGAGTTTCAGAGAAAGGAGTGGGGAGGGAGCACAGTGTTTGAAAGCTCAGCTGTGACATTTATTGATAAATGCCATAAAGGTTTGTAGAAGAGTCTAATAGCATCTCTTGCTGGAATTGGAAGAGCATTGGGGCGACCATTGTAATCACCGCTCCAATGGGATCTTCTCCCATTTCCAGAGTTCTCACAGCTCGGAGTGACGTCCGGATGATGATTGCTGGCAGGAGACACTGTTTAGAACTCGGTATTGCTGTTAGCAAATTCACTGGAAATCAAACTTAAACTTGGTCTTAATTTTTTGGAAGTTGGTTTCCAACATTGAGCAAAATTAGCTTCCAAAGTAAGACAGAATATGTTTCGAAAACTGTGCTCATTCATGCCTTTTAAGGGTAGTGGCCCTTGGCAGTAGTTTTAAGCCAATAAACAGAGGACTTTGACCAGCCTGATTGCTATGTACCTGCCATAATTCATTCTTCTCTTCAGTGCCAATCGGTTGCTGTCAAGCCTCACACGAAAATAATAGCTGCTCGGGAAGAGAACACAATTTGACCGCTGAAAGTGAAACTGTACCTAAGGAATTAAATGTCTTTGAGAGAAAAAAATTAGGGAGTAAAATGCAATGGACCAAATTGCTTACTCCCCAGCACATGTCAGAGCTCTGAAATGAGACCAAGTTTATTATATCTCCATCTGGGAAGAATTCTTCTCAGCCAGTGGGATGGAGAAAGTAATTGACTGTTGCAATCAATTACATGAGTTAAAAATGTGTTCTTTGTGAAACATTACCTTCAGACTGCATTTCTTTCACTCCTAGCCTTTGAATGTCATTGAAATCCAATGATGCAGTGGATGTGTTTCTTGTAGAAGAAAGAGATCAAGTCTTTAGAACTGAAAGAAACAAGATTATATTGAAACAGAGACATCCCACACAGGTCTTGTCTTTATAGCTCAGCGCTGACTCGTGCTGGTACACAGTACCATGGGCTCTGGATGTTCTGTTATACTATAGCCAATTTTCATAAGGTACATGGTGTTAGGAGGCACCACAGCTGAGTCCAATATTCACGTACTTTGCATTGGGTGGGGTGGGGGAGGATGAATACCATTGGGTGGTTAACAGGTTTCCCCTCCGCCTCCTGTTACCCTCCCTTCCTAGTCTAGTGTCACGGAAGGCAATTATGGCACCCTGGCTGAGATTGGCTGACTTACCCAGATTGGGATTTGAATTTACAGTCTTGCGGCGTGAATGTCTAACAGTTACGTAGACTGGAGGGGTTCTGTCCTTGGGTACTGTGCTTCATTACTGGAGTGAACAGTTATTTTAAAGCGAGAGATCATGCACAGAGATGGCCTTGGATCTGTGACCCATCTCAACACGTGAGCTCGAATCATTGACCACAAAATACAGACAGCACACTTTACAGTAAAATCCTGTGAAGCACTCTGATACGTTTCAATGACATGAAAAGGCGCTATGTCAGCTGCAAAGATTATTATTTTAACAGTGAAACGTGTAGCTCTTCAAATGCATAAAATCTGATCCAAGAATAAATGTCTTGAACGGTTCACCTTTCTCAGCACTTCTATCATGAAATACTCCCTGGATTATTTTACTGGAAAATCAATCCTGCATCCGACCCAAGTGTAGTTGTGTTACTATAAATGTGCTGTAGCCGATATCTCTCCTTCAAACTCATTCGTCTCCCCAAAAAAGAAATTAAATTGTGTCAACCTGGCTCATTTGAAAGCACCCTTGCCTCTGCGTCTGAAGGTTATCAGTTCAAGCCCCAACATCTCATTGGTGTTTGCAGAACTTTGCTGGTTCCAGTTCATTGATACCATAAAACTTGCTTGTTTTCTGATTGATTTCATTCAGTGAATGCTTCGACATGTTTCTTTATGTGAAATAAAGGTGAGTTGCTGCATGGAAATTTACAGCACGGAAGAAGGCCATTTGACCCATCATGTCTATGCTGGCCCTTTTAAAGAGAAATTTTTTCAGTGCCATTTACCTGCCATTTCCCCGTACCTCAGTAGCTTTTTCATTTTTTTAAGATATCTGACTATTGCGGAGGTTAACTGAAAGGGTTGGCGGTTTTGTTCAGTTAGTAACCGATGACTTTTTTGCAGGTGAAATACCACCTGAGGTTTAAGTACCTTCCTCGCAATGCACCGTCCACGCAACAGAGCCAGTTTAACCCAAACCGAGACACGGGCTGGCGCACACAGTTCCTTTTCCCGTTTCTCCCATTGCCTGGGCCCCGGGAGCCGTACTTCAAGGATGGGGGAACTCCAGGTGAGTGAATGCAGCCCACTGAATAGAGCCTCATTGCCCACACAGGTTTGATTCCGGCTGTGAGCTAACAATCTAAATGTGGGGCAGTTTTGATGGTGTGGTGGATAGAGCTGTGGTTTAACGATCGAATCCCAGTCTGTGGCGTCAATTAATATCCGGAATTAATAATAATAATTCTTGTGTTTTACAATAGTGCCTTAACACAGCGGTGAGACATCTCAAAGCCGTTCACAGAATATATCGTAAAGCGTTGGGACTACATATGTTGTGAGGGAAAAGCAGTAGCCAATTGCGCACAAACAGTTTTGGATTGAGTGAATTTTTTTTGAGGGACTATTACGCCTGGAAAGCGATCTGCCAATCGACTCAACACAACAAAATTACATTTGCATAGTGCCTTTCACGTTGGGAGGACGTCCCAAGGTGCTGGACAATCAGTGTTTTGGACCCGAGCTGGGGATTGGGATTGGAGAGGGTGGGGGGTAGCAGTGACTGAAGGTACGGTAGAAGAGGAGGGTCTTGAGACAGGTCTTAAAGGATACAAGGGAAGGGGCGAGGCGGAGGGACTGCGAGATGGAGTTCCAGAGGGTGGGGACAGCGTGGCTGAAGACCCACCCGCCAATGGTGGGGGACGTAAAGCAAGCCGGAGCCCGCTGAGTGGAGGGAGCGAGCAGGTGTAGGGGGTTAGCAGGTCGCAGAAGTAAGAGGCAGCAAGGCCATGGAGGGCTTCGAAGGTGAGGACCAGGATCTTGAACTGTATCCTCTGTGTGATGGGAAGCCAGTGGAGTCAGTCAAGAATGGGGGTGATAAGGTTATGGAGCCTGGTGCAGGAGAGGATATGGGCTGCAGAGTTCTGGATGATCTGCAACCTATGGAGAGAGTAGTTGGGGAGGCCGACAAGCAGGGAGTTTGCGTAGTCGAGCCCCGATGTAATGAATGCGTGTATGAGAGTCTCGGCAGCTTGTAGTGTGAGACAGTGGCAGAGCCGGATGATACTGCGGAGGTGGGGGAAGACAAAGTGGGTCATCGCACGGATGTGGGGTAGAAAGGACAGTTGAGGGTCAAACGAGACACCAAGGTTCTGGACTGGCTCAGTGACTTATCAGTCGTGTTCCTACTTCCTGCTAGGTAAACAGAGGTGTATGGAGTAAGGAAACTTGCCTAAGGTTTCGCCCCACCCGGGAATCGAACCGGGGCCTCTTGCTTGCGAGGCGATCATGCTAACCACCACGCTACAGAACTCCCCGGGAATTGCACGGGGAAAGGTTAAATTGGGCCCTGCCTTCCCAGTGTCATGGAGGGGAAAGCCGGTCCTGGGTTCCTGCTCTTGGCCCCTCTTCACCATGCTTCACTGCTAGTAGGGTACGGTTGTGTAGCATGTGAGGAGAGGGTCTGGCTGGGCTGGGACGCCCTCTACAGTCGGCCAACACCCACTGCCAAGGTTTACACTCGATCTGGATCCTGAAGTGCATCCAGCAACCCTGAAATTGCCCCCAGCATGAGGAGGCCAGGGAGGAGGAGCAGAGGCACACAGCAGTGGGGAGACAATGAGAAAATAATTAGATTTTTAAACTAAACAACGCAAATGTGGTGTGAATCTCTCTTCTGAGGATTCTGCCACGCTTCCGCTTTGGCAATTGCACACAGGTCGCATTTGATTTTTAATGAGGTTCGCTGAACAACAGCGCCTCACGAAACAGCCGGGATTGGCTAAGGTGTGTTGACATAATTAGTGGGTTTTGAAAGCTAAATGCTGCTCAGTTTGAAGCACAATGTTATCTCCAGAGTGAAGCATTGTTTTTTGTTTCAAAACCGTCTTCAGATCTTTTCCATTTGCCTGATCTAAAAGCAACTGAAAGAAGCAGGTTAGCCTGATGGTCGCAATAATCCTGACTCATCTCAGCTGGCTTGTCTGGGTCTTTGTACTGGCTCAGGTTACACCTACAGTGATATTATATGAACGCACAACTCTGTGGGTTGTAATTCTGACATGCGCTTGTAATTTACACATGTTCAATCGATAAGCCCCATTTCACCACCTCACCTTCACAACCGTTATTACTTATTTTAAATGTGCAAAAGTGCCACAAACAGGTCTGCCTGCGGGTGCACCATTTCCATACGTTTGATTTCTTTCTTGTTCATTTTGAGCCTAGGTACACACGTGCTCCTCGATCCAGACACCAAATTGTATTAAAAAAAAATCCAAAACCCCAGCTCGGGTCCAAATCTCTGATTGTCCAGGTTCTGGCCTCCTGTTTGTCACTCGTCCCCTCCGCTCCACCATCGGTGGCTGTGCCTTCAGCCACTACGCCTCGAAACTCTGGAACTCATTCCCTCAATCCCTCCGCCTTGCCCCCACTTTCAAATTCCATCTAAAGACCTTTTTTGATCCTGCTTATGGTCACCTCCCCCTCCCTCTTCCAGCTGGCTCAGTGTCCGAACCCGCCACGATCAAGCGCTCTAGGACACTACCCCGCATAATGGGTGCTATATAAATGCAAGATGTTGTTGTCATTGTAGGCTGGAGCCCTCCCTCCCTGTAGCCGCTTCTTGTGTTGCTTGTCTGTTCCCTTCCATAGGCAAATCTTCACATCCTTTCTGATTCCTTTCTCTGGGTCCACTATTTTTAATATATATATATTATATATATTTATCCCGTGATAAAACAAATCTCGCTATTTAACGCAACATCACATCGATTCAAAGTCTCCAGTTGCTTCTCACAGTGAGTTATTAAGCTAATGGACATGTTGCTGTGTTTTGGTTTGTTTAGGTTACTACCGCGAGGGGTTCCTGACACTGCAACACGTGGTGGACAGGGCCATTATCAAGTATCACGCCAACTCCACCAGCCAGCGAAAGCTCGACAGTATTACAGTGAAGTTGCTACGGTTCCCATACCCACCGTATACCCGGGACCTGTTCATTGTGGTCATCCAGAAACAGCTCTCGCTCATGGTCCTGTTGAGCTTCTGCTACACCGCACTCAACATTGCTCGAGCAATTGTGATGGAAAAAGAAAAGAAGCTGAAGGTGAGATGCCCTTGAATGAATAAATCCTTGCACTTGATACAGCGCCTTATCATGGCTGTGGAGTGACTGTAGTTTGGGTGAACGCAGCAGTCCATGTACAATTTACGAACCGTAAAATCCAACAGTCTGACAGCAGGTGAATAACCAACAATCTGGGGGATTGTTAGCCAGAACACCGGGAGAAACTCCCCCTCTTTTCAAATAGTGCCATGCGATCTTTAACATAAGCTTTAATTGGCGGACGGGCCCTTGAATTAATGTCTCAACCAAAGCAAAGCACCACTGGCAACGTAGTGCTTTTATTATTACAGTAATATTATTTGTGTTATTATTATTAACTACATTGGAATATCAGCCTTGATTGGGAGGTCAAAGGAGAGTGAACCAGAGGCAAAAGTGCCACCATTGTGTCTGCAGAACCTCCCGCAAGTCAGTGTCATCACAAGATCACCAAATTGGTTTGGGTGAAGAAGACCCTTCAGCCCATACAATCCCATCCTGTATTTTCCAGATTCCTTAATAAAATCATATAATAATAATCCTTGCATTTGATATAGCGTCTTGTCATGTCGTTGAGACGTCTCAAAGCGCTTCACAGAATATACGGTAAAGTGAATTGACTGTATATTTTGTCCCGTTCCCCAGTATCCTGTGTGAAATTGACCTGTTTTAGACCACCCGTGCCACTTTACCTGGACTTGGTTTTGCTGTGAGTTTAGGACTCACTGTCCCAGTTAGAGCCGGGATACTGATGTTGCGTTTCCCTTTATATTTCCTCAGGAGTACATGAAAATTATGGGACTCAGCAGCTGGCTTCATTGGCTCGCCTGGTTTGTCAAGTTTTTCGTACTCCTCCTCATTTCAGTATTTTGTATGACTCTGATGTTTTGCGTGAAGGTATGTATGTTTAAAAGGATCATTGAGGTGTGTTTTTTTTAATGCTATGATGATACTCTTTACAGCGTTGTGTGTAGTTTGGCAGTTTTCAGAGGTAGGAAGACTGCTGGATGGAGGGGAGGAATTGTACCAAACAAAGATAAAGTTCCAAGATAAATCTCTGACTGAGATCCAACATGCAACAAATGTGCCGCCATCACCTGCCATTACCATCCTTTCCATAGTAAAACATCAACAACAATGGGAAGTTTCTGTACAGTGACTCTTGTGATCTTATTCCAGCCTAATTTGCGGTATTTCTAAACGGGATTCCTGAATAAGATTACACCAACTGGAAGTACATCATGCTGACCTACAACTTTTGGAAACTTTTCTCTGATGTGACCAATGAATGGAAATGCTAACTGGATTCCTCATCCAGGAAATCTTTCACGAGAACCCAAATTGGAATCAATTTTTTAAAAAAAACTATGGGTTCTCCAATGGCCCATGAGAGTATTGCTGGATTTCAGTCAATAAATATTGACTGCCATGGTAGATACTATAATGTCTCCCCCTCACCCTGGACCTCCTTATTGCACAGTAAGTCCAAAACCCTGACTGTGCAGCAACTCGGGACGTCCTCCCGACATAAAAGGCAATATACAAATGTAATTTGTAGTTGTTGTTCCGTAAGCATTGGAGGATGAAGGTATCAGCTGCAAAGTGTCCCTCTCGATTTCTCCGTTCGATTTCTCCCCCAAGTGGGTTTTCTGTTTAATTCAGCTCTTTGTACTGTGTAAAGGCCATTGTGTGGTGTGCAGATAATCACATGAGGCTGAAAGAACGTAATGTTTTATTTAACTGCAAGGTCACTAAGCACGCAACAGTGAATGTTGAATGAAGCCTGATCCAAAGCTTAACAGGAAATAGAAAGAACATACCTTCGCAGTGGGAGGGACGCCATTCTGTTATAGATATTCCCTGAACTTGAAAGTTAATCAAGCACAAGCTCCAGAATAATCATCCATTCAACCGATTGGCCTCAGGAGCAAGGAAATGTCTCCTGCATTTATTTCATTTAATTCTGCAACCATCCCAAGTAGATACTTGTTCAGTTCTTTATTAGGAACGATAGCTGTCAATGATTCAGCTTATCCTCTTTTTATGCCTCCCTCGGCCCCTGCGTTCTCACTTCCCTCTTCTCACTCCCTCTGAGTCTTTAAGTCCCGCCTTAAAGCCTAACTCTTCGACTACATCTATGACCACCTCCCCTTCCCCCTGCTCAGTGCCTGATCCCGTCACTATAGAGTACTCTGAGACGTTATCCTATGTGAAGGGTGCTATATAAATGCGTGTTTGTTGTTAAATACTGTGCTTCAATATCCATTGGTTTCCCTAATCTTCTGTACGCAGTTGTTATAATGTGAATCATTCTCAATTTACAGAGGCTTGGAGGTGTTTCAGTGTTACCCCAGTGAGGGGAGAAAGGGGTAAAAGGGGAACGCAGATCAATGGTCCGTAGCCCACACCTGTTGAGTACTTATTGGCACGGTTCTCCCTGACCACGGGGGCCAACCTCTCCTCCCTCATCCAGATCCCCACCCTCCCCCTTGCCCCCCACATTCCACCAACAACTGTCCCTGCACATCGGCCTACAAAATGTCCGCTCCCTCTCCGACAAAATACTCACCATCCAAAACCTCATCGTCAACGAAAACATTGACATTCTCTCCCTCACAGAAACCTGGATAACTGCAGGTGACACCTTCCCCCTGATGGAGGCCACACCACCCGGCTACACCTTCCTTCATACCCCTCAACCTAACCGCTGTGGTGGCGGGGTGGCTCTCATCTCCCGGTCCCCGCTCTACCTACCCCTTACTCCTCTGGAACCTTCTTCCCCTCCTTTTGAGACGATGCTGGACTTCCTTGAATCCAAGGTCAAGGGGTTCCACTCAGCTGCCTCTGCCCTTCCATCTCCTACACACTCCCCATCTCCCCCTCCCACCCCAGCCCCTACCCGTCCCTCTCTCCACACCTTCGAACCTGGCTTCAACTCCTCTCTCACCATCACTTTAACCTGAATGAAACCGATCACCTGCTCCCTCGACCCCATCCCTACCCCTCTCCTTACCTCTCAGCTGCACCTCTTTGCCCTTTTACTCACAGACATCATAAACCTCTCCCTGTCCACTGGTCCTGTTCTCACCCCATTAAAAATGGCCATAATCACTCCTATCCTCAAAAAACCCTCCCTGGGCCCATCTGTGCTCTTGCTTCGCTCCTTCCTCTCCTGCCACTCCCTTCACAAACTCCTCCAATTGGGTTTCCGTGCCGCCCAGAGCACAGAAACAGCCCTGGTCAAAGTGACAAATGACATTCTATCCATCTGCGACCAGGGCTCCCTCTGCCTCCTCATCCTCCTTGACCTCTCTGCTGCCTTCAACACTGCTGCCACTCTATCCTCATCCACCACCTCTCCTCTTACCTCAACCTTCATGGCTCTGTGTTCCCCGCCTCGCCCCCTCCCTTACCTCCTTCAAGACCCATGTCAAGACCCTCCTCCTCACCCTGCTTCCCCCCCCACTGCCCTCCGCCCTCCCCAATCCCAACCCCCAGCTTGGGTCCGAAACTCTGACTGTCCAGCGCCTTGAGATGTCCTCCCGAGGTGAGAGGCGCTACACAAATGTAATTTTGTTGTGAAACACATTGTCTCAGGGACAGATGAGGAGACCTTTGATAGGGAGTCATTCCATGCTGCTTGCCTACTCTGCACAGCAGTGAGAGAGCCTGGTACATGCTTGTCCATCCCCTTGGCTGTTGTGTGAGTTGCCGGAACCCTAGAAGTCATAGAAACAAATGAAAAGAAATCCTTTCAAAAAGTCAGAGCCAAGGAAATAGATTTTTGTATTAAAGTCAGTGAACTTGAACTGAAAAAGGTTATAAGCGAAGGGATTTGGGATGCAGTTTATCAATGTGAGAATTGTTATTTTTATTAAGGCAGCTGTAACCCACTATTAATGTCATCTGTTTTGTTTGGCAGGTCAGCAAGCTGGGAGCAGTGCTGAATTACAGTGACCCGACCCTAGTATTCCTCTTTCTCATGGTCTTTGCGATCTCTACCATTTCCTTCAGCTTCATGGTCAGCGTGTTTTTCGTACGAGGTACGTACCCCTGCTGAGTTATTTGTCCGCTGAGTTATTTGCCTCCGCTTTGTTCTTGTTCCGTCTGGAGTTGCAGAGTGAAATGTATGGCAAAGCCAGAGGAGGCTGGAACATAGCAGCAGTGTAGCTCTTTGTTCGGATACCAGCCTCTTGAGCGTGTCAGCAAAGGACAAAGGGAGACAAATGTTTTCCAGGCCCTGGTTATCTCTGATCCGCCCAAGCACTTCATCCAGTGCAAATCAGTTACATGCAGGCTTCCACACTTCTCATTTCATTCGGTCAGTCTGCAGATAAGAGACTGATACGCTATTGCAACTACAGGGTAATGCAGTATCACTAGAGAAGTTCAGATGAAGAAGACCCTTTGGCCCAATTGATCTCATCTTTCCAGAATACCCACAGCAAAAAAATGTTTCTTAAATGAGTCCAGTGTCCTAGCTTCTAAAACCCTTCACAGTAACCTATTCCTGGTGTTGATTTCTCTCTTCTTAGATAAAATCAATGCTGTTGATGACTATCTTAAAATTGCCCTGCACAACGAATCAGTATCATCATGGTGAAACAGCCAAGCTTTGAGGCAGACAGACCACTGATTCTTTGTCCCCTAATCACTCGCAGGCGATAACTTTTGCCTTCAGTGAACGTTTAATTGCTCACACTGGATTCTGCCCATCAGCAGTACAGTTCGAAGTTCCCTCTTTCTGGATGTCCAGACTTCCTGACACTTTATAAATGTATTAAGTTTCCTTAGTTTATGGCCTCGATGATCATCATGCTTTTGTACATTTATTTATTCATCACCTCACTGCAACTGAAATGTCTGCTCATCATTATGTCACCACATGAATTCCAATGTCATCTGGAAGTCACCCTAAAGCAAAGCACATTCACTGGTGGATGGATACCTGGTCCAAACACATTGACGTGGATGTGATAACAGCCCCCACAATTACTAGCTATAGTGACTGATGCCTTCCTTACAGAGAGCTTTCTTGCTTTCTATCATGCAAGATGTAGAAACAAAAGTTAACCTTGGATCACTTTGACCCTCTGACCCCATTGGCGTCAACTGAATCCAGTCTCTCTGGTGACTGCTGTAAAGTAAAGGAGGAGCTTGGTGCATCCTGGAGCCATTCCATTGCTGTGGACTCTTGACTTTAAGAGTCAGGATAATAAGTACTTTGCTGCTGGTCTGAAGACAGGCGTTCCGAACACAGACTCCTTTCCTGAATGCATCACTCGGGTTTGCTGTGCAGTTGGAAAATTAGAACGAGAAGTAAAATGCTTGCTGTGGGTAAATCCATTGTCTGGGCTTGTATCTGATTTTCTCTCTCTCTCTCTTCCTCCTCCCCCCCCCCCCCCCATCCATCTTTATTACAAAATAAAAAGTCTGTTATCGCTAATCGTTTGAGAAATGACATTCTCCCACCATTTGCAGACGGCATACAATTGAGTTGAATGTAAAAATTATTTGTATACAGTTTGGGTAGAACTCCCAGCTTCCAGTGTCTGATCCATTCCACTTCGTGCAAATCGAATTTGAAATACAAATTTACATTTAAAGCAACGCCATTCACGTTGGGAGGACATGTCAAGACGCTTAACATTAGTGGCTTGGCACCCGAGGTGGGGGGCGGGTAGGGAGGATGCGATAATATGTGGGTAATGCATGGAGACGGCAACAGTACACATGGTTTCTGTACCTGGACCGCTGGTACTGACGTCATCCATGGTTAAGTGGAATTTCGCGAAAAAATACACAGTTACCACACTTCACAGCGAATTCTGTGAAGCACTTCGAGACATCCTCTTAACAACAGAACATAAGAAACGCTAGACGGAGAAAGGCCAAGGTCCATCTAGTTCACCTTCCTGGCGGTCACATGCACATATGTCCCAAACTATGCACTATATCCCGTAATGTTATTTTGTAAAAAGAAAACTATCTGTGTTTGAAAGAATCAACACTTCCTGCTTCAACCGTCTCCCGAGAGAGCCTGTTCCATAGATTCACTATTTGTTCACTGAAATAGTCTGCGTAGATTTGTTCTGAATTTACCCCCCTTTAATCGCAGGCCGTGTCCTCTGGTTCTACTATTTTGAACAAGTTGAAACAGTCTGTCATGATCTATATTGTCTTGCTCCTTTAGAATCTTACAGACAGCAGTCATGTCGCCTCTCAATCTTCTCGTTTCCAGCTTGAACCTGCCCAATTTACTTAGTCGCACCTCATAGTCCAATCCCTCCATTCCCTCAATCATTTTGATTGCCGCCGTCTATCTTCTCGATTTCTCCAATATCCTTTTTGTACTGCGGCGACCATAATTGTACACAGTACTCTTAAGCATGGTCTCACCAATGATTTATACCATGATGTGAACGATTTATACCAAGACTCTTGATGTGACAGATACTTTCAGCAGCAAGAATTTCTGACGAAAAATTCTGTCAAATGCAAGGATTATTATTGTTTTTATTAATAATAAATGTACCTATCAGTACATTTCCAGCACATGAGCTATTTGTATATCTCTTTGTTTCTCCCCGAATTTCAGCCAACGTGGCAGCTGCTGTGGGTGGAATCCTGTACTTCTTCTCCTACGTCCCCTATTACTTCATTGTGCCGCGATACACACTGATGACTCACGCCCAGAAAGTGGCGGTGTGCTTGATTTCAAACATCGGCATGGCGATGGGGACGCAACTCATTGGGATGTTTGAGGGCAAAGGTAAGAGCCAGCAACAGGACGGAGCATTAATAACCGCATTACAGATGCCCGCCTCTTTCCCCCCCCCGCCCCCCCACCCCACTCCTCGCCCTGCTTTACCTAAACCCCAGAACACACGAGCTCCTCATTGGTGAGTGAATCATAATGCACTTTAGCCACAGGTGGAACAAATCCTCGCCAACATCTTTGCTTTGGCTGGACGTGTATCTGACTCCCACATTATTGTTGCGATTATTATAGTTATTAATATTTTTATTATCATTATACTGCTTCTGATCACTATCCAGAGACTCCAGCAGGTAGGTTGAGCAAATGACGAGGATCACAGATGAATCATGGTCACTTGGTCAGGTATCAGAGGGTGCCCAGTGCTGTGGAACAGAACTCCAGCAGACTGAGGTGAAGGAGAAGGGGTGGGGATGAGGGGGAAACCCTTCCTCACATGGAGGGATGGCAAATCAGAGGACCAGACACTTCCAGAATGCTTTTAACCCCTTACTAAGTAGTTACACAAAACTGGGAAGTTGAAAATAGCTGAACTCTTGCGAGTGTTGGTGCAGGATATTATTGCATCCTGTGGCTTTCCGTAAAGTTTGCCCGAATTGTATTAAGGAAATGGATCTGTGTTAGTCACGAGCACATCCATATTTAGCTCTCGGGGGACCAATTGGATAATGGGACTGTGTATTAAAGGGATATTATGGTGATTTTGAATTGCAGAGCTTCGACCAGCTTATTGAAGAGCAGGAAGCAACCAGAAATCAATGTTAGAGCTTCTATTAAATATTTTCTTCATTATTTCATAATTTGGCTGCAACACTGATTGAATTTGGGAAATTAAGTCTTCAGAGATGCGTGTGGATTCTGAAAGAGCCCGCAGTGAAAAGAGTTCATTTATTATTAATGGACATTGTTCACGTTTGAACGGGTCAGGAACAAATTGCTTTTTCTCAACCAGGAAGCTGTGGAGACAACTTCACACAGCTCTGCTATTTTTTATTTTGTCAGTAATTGTTTAAATGGCGGCCTCTCAGGTGAGGATAGATTCAGAGAAGAAAGAGAAACCTACATAAAGAACAATATGGGCTATTTACTCAGAGGGTAATCAACAACTGCAACAGCTTGCCAGGCAAGAGACCAGACTCATTTTAAAAAGCAGCTTGATGCTATGATGGGAGGACGGTAGGGTGGGTGTTCTGCAAGGTTGATATCGAATGGGCCAAAGGGCTTTTCTTCATCCATCTTGTGATACTGTGATGTGCTGAGATCCCAGCCAGCAAATTGGGCTGCAACAGGTCCACCAGTGCCAGAAACTGAGATTGGGATTGAGATCAAACAGTGTGTCTTTTGCAGTATTTTGACCTTGTGGGGGAACAACATAAGATTATAAAAATATTTTTGAATTTGCGAAGGTTCCTGCTAGCCCAGGGCTCCTCATGTCTGCCTCTTCACTGTGTGTCTGCAGCGTGCTGCTTTGAGTAGGCGTGGGGGAGAAATCCACATAAACCTCAGGCTGCCTGCTAGACATAAAAAATATGGGATCTACTTCATAAACACCATGAGATCCACTTGGATTGTAAGGAATTGATTGTTGGCTTCTGGCAACACAATCTGACTGTCAAACACTGCTGTTAACACGTTCTGACTGTAGAGTACAACCCTGAGTCCCAATCAGTGGGAATCACATCCATTTCTGCCAATTATCACCCACAACGTGAGTTAATTGGGCAGAAATCACACAATACAGACAAGTGGCCGATTTCTTACATTCTGGAGTGATATCAGGTACATGAATTAATCTGAGCTTTTCCTTTTCTTTCACTCAGCATTTCAAGCCTTGTTTTCCCTCTCAGTCTTTTTATTCTTCCCGTTTGTAGTGCTTTCTCTTTGCCCAGTTTTTACGCTGTTTCGCTCTGAATTTAGTTTTTGATGGGTAGTAGTGTTGAACAAGCTGTCAGGAGTCTTACTTTGGGGAGCAAACTATTTTTTCTGCACAGTAACTACTTTTCAGCCTGTTATAGCATGGAATAGATAGAGTACAGTTTACTCCACTAACCCATGCTGTACCTGACCTGGCTGGATGGGGCAGAAATGAAGGAAAGCTCCTTCTACACTGCTCCATCCAACGTTCCCAGGTCAGGTGCAGGAGGAATAGATATTCGGTAAAGCATCCTTTGTTCTAACATCACCTTCAGCCATCACTATATTTAAGAGTGTTCAAACGGGATGAAAAGTTCCACAGGTTCATGGATATTTCCCTGTGTGTGGAATGGATTGCTAACTTTCTCCCTGGAGGGACATACTCTACTCATCTAATTCCGGGTATTATTAGGCTCAAGTTGGCAGGAGCCAAGGCTTGGGGACCCCAGAGTGTATTCAACCTAATGTATTTGTGATGGTTGTGGCTGAAGATTGCACGCACCATCATAACTGATATAGGAAAGCAATTCGTGCTCTGATCCACACCTTGCATTTAAGGTTGTGCTAGTGCATTTTATGAACAACTATAATTCATTCTGGTAGGGCAGATTTTATATTCTGACTGTCTGTGAATGGACTGATAAAGCACATTTGGTTATGCATGAAAGTCATTGACATTGTGTCACATGGCTTGGCAGAGTTTGGCTGTTAATAGTTTTCTGTTCATTTGAAGGTACTGGTATTCAGTGGAGAAACATCAATCAGCCATTTACTGTGGACGATACCTTCACCATGGCTCACGTGCTGGTGATGCTGCTCTTTGACTCGTTCCTGTATGGGCTGGTGACCTGGTATGTAGAGGCTGTCTTCCCTGGAGAGTACGGAGTGCCTCAGGCTTGGTACTTTTTCATATTGGTAAGATCCCTTTTCATTGTAAGGACTGATCCTTGATGAGGGAGTAGTATAACTTTGGTTGTTTTACCCGCCTTATCCAGTTTCTTTGCTTTTGGTTGTTTCAGCTCCTCTTGTCACTGTCTCCACATTTGTACTGTATCTCTTAAAACTTTAAATACAGTGTCAGGCATCGCTTTCTGCAGCACAGCCTTCAGACTCGCTGTTTAACACCAAAAATCAAGCCCACTGAAGTCAACTAAGTATCAGTATTACTGAGTTACTTCTTTTCAGATTTAGCTGAGATTGAAAAAACAATTTGAATCCAGTGTGAACAACAACAGCAGCATTTATATAGCACCGTTCATGTCGGAAGGATGTCCCAAGAGTTGAGCCTGTCAGTTTCGCTGAAAGCTTGAGCTTTTTGGGGTTGGAGTGGTGGGGGAAGAGAAATCTCTGAATGGGCTATTTGGGAGTCATTGAATGAGCTGTCTTTAACAAGATCAAGCTTGGTGATGATCACACCAATTCCACGGGTGAAACAGCTGGACAAGCAATCACTGCCCAGCTCGAGTATGAAGGGCGGTCTTTAGTGAGAGCTTCTCTTACGCTCAAGAAGAGTGGGAAGGAGGAAGAATTGGAGAAGATTGCAAAGGCAGATAGGACAAGATCACATTTGGTTCTGAACTGCACAGATGTGTAAATAGAATAGTGCAATGAAGTTGGTGAATAGGACCGTTCCTCACACTCCACTCATACAGGAGACTCCATGCTTTTTTTCATTGCTGCTGATTAAAGCTGTGGTGGAATAAACATTGTATTCAGCAGCTTCACATGCAACGCTCTTTAATCGTGACCCTTTGAGGGCATTTATCCCGGAATGCTTGAATCCCGCTGCTTGGGTTATTTGGTTTTCCTGCTGTCTGGTAAAATAAGGTCTGTTTTTTGCTGCTTCCCACAAAAGACCCTCCATTTGTTAGAAAAGGTTTTGATTTTGGAGTTCAACGCAAGCCTGAGTGATGCTAATGTCCTCATGCTGCCGTCTCAATCTAATCTGCAGTGAGCATCAATCCGTCGCCATGTGAATGTAACACATTTCATCTTGAGTAGACAATTTTCCAGTCGGCTAGTGTTGCTCTCGGCCCCTGGCTGGTTTTTCGTGGTCTTTAGATGAGTGTCGAGATAGTGAACATACACCAAGCCAATCATCTTTAATAGTTTCCGCCTGGAATGACATATGTCATTGCAAATGTTTTCAAATTTGTTTGAAAAATACACAATAAAATTATGGTATGAATGCTAACAGTGCCCTCTATAGGTTGAGCTTCAAATTCCTGTGCAATACTGCATTCTCAGTGAAAGTGGGGCTAATAAGAGAATAATTACAATAATAATCCTTGTATAGCACCTTTCACACTGGGACGATATCTCAAAGCACTTCACAGGAATATACTTTATAGTGTAGTGACTGTAGTGTCTGTGTGCATGCAGGGGTGGGTGGGGGAGGACGTTATTTCTTTCTTTTCATATCTGGCCTTTGTGTTTATGATTGGATGTATTTATTCAGTTGGAGTTTGATTAGGTTTTGTGCCAATAACATTCCTGGTGAGTGGGTGGGGATTCCCAGCACTTCTGGACTCAGATCACCTACCAGATCAGCTCCCAAAACTTATCTGTTTAATATTAGGGGAGTTGCTCTGCCCCACACATGGCTTCTCCCAGTTATGTACAGCCTAATACCACACTGATTCCAGGTAGTGCAGACAGACGAGGATTTCTCACGTCCAGCAAATACCATGTTTTTTTTTCTATAGACTATTTTCCTCTGGGTCTGGCTGTTGTACTTTTAAAAATAAAATACTCCTCTTGCCTTTTACTGTTGTACAATTGATGTGAGTTGAAAATGCACAGTGACATTCTGTGTGTGAAGTTTAGCCGTTCTGTGTATCATTGTGAGGGTCGGTTAAGTTAGGTTCATCGAGTTATTTCAGATGTCTGCTGTTTGAACAAACAGATCCGAGGCTGCTAACGACTCCACAGTCCTTTCCACATGCACTGGCAATGCAAGAACAGGCTCAGTGTAATACCTCGAACTGGTCCTTTTTATATTTCGCCCACAAAATACACAGTCAATTCACTTACAGTATATCCTGTGAAGCACTTTGAGATGCTTCAGTGAAGTGATAAGGCGCTATATCAAATGCAAGGATTATTATTAATATGATTATCAACGAGGGGTCACAACATACAGCCTTCCACTGCTCGCCCAGAGAGTCCTGTCTGCATATGAGCTGCCACCCTGGCTCTTCCACATTCAGAGGGGTGGAGGCTCGTGTGGAGTGTCAACAGCAGAATAGACAAGTTGAGCCGAATAGCCCGTTTCCATGCTGTACAGCCTATATAACACTAGATAGTTTTATGTATTAAAGTGGATCACACTGCCTTAACCTCTGCTGTTTGTAATATTCTCCAGCCCTCATTCTGGTTAGGAAAGGTGAGACAGGTCATGATTGATGATGAAGAGGAAGATGATGATCCTGAGAAAGCCCTAAAGACTGAGTTCATGGAGGACGAGCCAGTGGGTCTTTTTCCCGGCATCAAGATCAAACACCTGAGTAAGGTAAGGAGTCACTCACTTGTACAGTGATTAGTGTGTCATTTTTCCTGAATGCAAACAGAAATTAAAGGTAAACACTTTGTGGTTCTCCCCAAAAAGAAAGTTTGAACAGTCATCATTCTTGTAAGGTTTGCACAAAAAGTATGTAATATTTGGGACTCCAGGACTGCAATATGTCCAAAGCCATACTGGAATCCTGTAGCTCAGTGTTTAGAGCACTCGCCTCGGCAGGGCAAAATGTTGGGCAAGTTTCCTTACTCCATCCACTATTTAGATAGCAGTAAGTAGGAGCCCAGTTGTTAGTCGATTGGTGGATCGCTTTTCCGGGGGTAATAATTCCTTCAAGAAAAAATAATAGTAATGAATTGGTCACTTCAATCCACAACTGTTCGCGGGATGCTGCTGTGTGCAATTGGCTTCCAAGTTTCGCCCACAAAATATACAGTCAATTAACTTTACAGCATATTCTGTGAAGCGCTTTGAGACGTCTCGAAGACATGATAAAGCGTTATATCAAATGCAAGGATTATTATTATATTTGGATGTGTTCTGTTGCAGGTGTTTAAAGCTGGGAACCAGAAGAAGTTAGTGGTGTCAGATTTAACGCTGAACATGTACGAGGGGCAGATCACAGTGTTATTGGGCCACAACGGAGCAGGAAAGACAACCACCCTATTCATGCTAACAGGTAACTCTGCTGTTCCAGCAAAGAGTAAGCCGATTTGGATTGTACACAGTTAGTCTCCCGTTGCTGTCTCGCAAAGATTGTTAAAGGCGAAGTTAATTTCTTACATTAAGTGCAGTGTGTCGATGGTAAAGCATTCAGTAGAATCAGAATGGACATGCATACATGCATTCAGCCTCCATTCCTTAAACAAAAACAAACCCAAAGTGGCACAGTCTCGAATATGCTGAAAGAATATTTCCCTTGCCCTCTGTTGCTCAAGCGCAGCTGCCCCTTTTCTCTGCTGCACACATCACAGGGATAGGCTTGCCATTTTGAATTAAAGGGTAGAGTACTGATTGTAGGGTGGTGGCCAGAAATTAGATGGTGTTCAATAATAATTGAAGCTCTGAATCCTGAACAACCTTTTTGACCAGGGCAGTAACTGGCAGATTAGACCTAACCCTGCAATTAAGCATAGCTGAGGGGACTAAACAGTACAGTACATCCATCTAATGAATTCCAGAAAGACAGCATTCAGAAGTACCGGCTGCAGTGATGGGTAGGTGGTGAATTAATTGCTTGCCATAATTGAGTGTTGAACACTGGTAGTTTCTTTGGGGTGGTCGGGAGAGCAAAGAAGTTTCTTGAAAACAACATCAACAATAGAGGAACCAAGATCAGGAGATGGTGTGAGACCAAGAATATCGAAGGCTAAAGGCAAATATAGAAGAGAGCGGATTTTATTATTCTGAGGTGAACTTCAAATGAGAAAATAGTAAAGAGTTACATCATCTGAACCCATTGTGGGCATGAAATTTGTGTGAATATCAGGTCTCTGTGTTTGATTCTATCTCTTTGGTTCTGTGTTAGTCTCTGCGTTGTGTTCTTATTGATTCCTTCAAACACAGATTAGATAGTTTTCTTTCAGGAAAAAACGTTATGGGATACAGTACATAGTTAGTTTGGGACATAGGAATGCCACCGCCAGGAAGGTTGGAAAGTCTTTCTTTCATCTGTCATTTCTTCTGTTCTCCTATTCTTTTGTGTGTGTGTGTCTTTCTCTCTCTCTTCTCTCTCACTCTCCTCTCTCACTCTTCTTTCTCTTTCTCTCTCTCTCTTTTTCACTCTCTCTCTAAAGTACCATTTACTCCTTTTTGCCAGGCATGTACCCTCCTACAAGTGGGCAAGCGTACATAAGCGGGTACAACATCTGCAATGATATGCCACTGATCCGAAGGAATCTAGGATTGTGTCCCCAGCACGAAGTCCTCTTTGACCTCCTGACTGTAGAGGAACACTTGTCGTTTTATGCCCATGTAAGTTACCAGTGAGGGATGGAGGCACAGACACATAGCCTCCTCTCTTTTATTTCCATGTAACAGCATTTGTTCAACCGGATGAGCCGGGCAGGGAAATTTGGTTGTTATCGTATTTATCCTCCATCTCTGGTTTCTTTCTCTTCATCTGCCTTTTGTGATCACTTTCAATTGGGATTGCAGGTTGGATCAGCCTCCCCTGGTGCAGTTGAATAGCCTGCTGACATTCACTGTGTAGGCACCATCACATGGTCATTTGATGAGGCGCTGGAAGATTGCCAGGGACAATGTTCTCTGTGTGTCAGCGTGAGTCACTGAGAGCAGTGGAGGAGAACTTGGAAGAATGAGATTTTATCCACCCATCTTAACTAAAGCTCAGCCCTTTGAGGTTGTGAAATGGAAGCTTCACACCACACATTAGCAAATGGAGTCCTGCAGCTTAGTGGTCTGCTTGCAAACGAGAGGACCCAGATTTGATTCCCGGCAGGGTGAAAAGTTGGGCAAGTTTCCTTGATCCACACACCTCTGTTCACCTATCAGTAAATAGTCGATTGGTGGATCGCTTTTCCGGGGGTAATAATCCCTTAAAAATAAATTAGGTCACTCAATCCACGACTGTTTGTGGGACACTGCTGTGCGCAATTGGCTGCCGCGGTTCACCCACAAAATACACAAGTCAATTCATTTTACAGTATATTCCATGAAGCGCTTTGAGATGTCTCAAAGACACGATAAGGCACTATATCAAATGCAAGTAGCATTATTATTATTAAGTGCTGTATTGGACTTCCCGAAGAAACTTTGACAGGCACATTGCATTGACCTGAAACAGTCCGTCTGTTTTGACTCCTCTATATGGGGCACAATCAGAAAATCTTTAATGAGGATCGCAGACTCAGGTTCACATGAGGGAAGATAAACTTTCAGTTCAGATTTAATTGCTACACCAGAATATGAATGTGTGAAATCAACTAGTCAGGGAGGAGGATTATACCGTATCAACAACTTCAAGAGAGAATTAGCTTCCTATTTGGTGAAGAATTCACTTGGGGGGTTGTGAGAGAGAGGGTGAGTTGTTAAAAAATGTTTTATGTTTTGGGACTGGCCAGATGTCCCTATATTCCCTTGTTCACTTTGGCAGCAATTTCCCTTATTCCTCCTAAGAATGACAGCTCCTGGATGCAGTATAAGTCCCCAAGCATCCATAGGCAGTGAGGCATATTTTTATTTAAAGATTTCCATGGTGAAAGCCACAGGAGTGGTTGGTTTGGGATTTGATTCCAGGTGAATTATTTTCATGTGAAATAGTCATTTAGCTCCCCAGGTAGCCTTGCATTAAAACTCACAGCTGTTTAATTAAACACACTTAGCAAGACTGACACATTAGCTGTTACCCCTGAAGATGCTTTTAGAGATATCAGAGACTGTATGCAACACGCAATGAACAACTGAACAAAGCTAGTTTGAGATAGTGTACGAAATATTAGACAATTGAACGAGGTGCGATGTGTTTCAAAGGCATTAAATTTCTGCTTGCATTTTGAAGTGAAGCAGAACTAACTGTGATCAATATAATGGAATCTCATTCTCTGTTCCTTATATGCAGTAACAAAATAACGCACAGTGCTTAGAATTATTCCTCTCAGTTTAATGGCAAACATTTATCACAAAGGCCCACGGATATCGTGCAGGTCGCTTACGCCACACTTTCCCTACTTGAGCTGTAAGCAATTGATTTGTCCTCTGGTTCACGTTGTCCTTTTAGAAGATTTGATGAATGTCTTTACTGTGGGTTGAAATATAGCTCCCATCTGTGCAGCTAAAATCATTCAGTCCCTTTCTCTCCGGGTTGTTATTTTGAGAAATCCACGCTCGTCAAACGATGTCAGATGTAAATTACTTACAGCCTGTGCACCGTCAGACTGTATGGTTACATTTGGTGCATAAAGGAGGAATGGTTGCTAGGTTCATTTTATTTGGCAGGCAGACAGAGCTCCATCCTTTTCCTCACTGCCTAATGTTGCTCTGAGTTTCCTGTGTCAGGAAATCACAGGGCCGAGATTTTAATCCACCACCTTGTGCTTCTTCCATTGAAAGGAAATGTTGTGAACAATGCAATAGCACGTTACCTGGACAGTTTGAAGAGGCTGCAGGGGAATCTAACAGTTTATCTACAGCATTGGGTATTTGAGTGTATTTGCTTGTGTTGCTCTCCAACTGGTGGCAGACACAGACGGGCAAGTTACAATAACTCTGGTAGTAACCCACTTGCTTTCTACAGGTATTAGTGTGTGGGCTTGACAGTTTCAGATAGTGAGTGTTTTGTGCTTCTAGAATCCTAATCCTGGCTTCTCTAACCTCTCCTGATAACTGAAGTCCCTCATTTTTGATATCATCCTCGTAAATCTCCTTTGCACCCTCTCCAATGCCTTGACATCCTTCCTAACATGTGGTGCCCAGAACTGAACACAGTACGCCAGCTGAGGCCTAAATAGTGTTTTATAAAGGTTAATCATAACTTCCTGACTTTTGTATTCTATGCCGTATTTATAAAGCCTAGTATTCCGTATGCTTTCTTAAAAGCTTTATCTACCTGTCCTGCCACCATCAAAGATTTACTTATATGAACCCAGAGGTCTCTCTGTTCCTTCACCCCTTTAAGATTCTACCATCTGGTTTAAGCATCCATTTGCTTTTGACTCCCTTCTCCAGAGGTGTCATCACCCTGACTGGTATTCAGTGCAGAGAACCGGTTTGTGAGTGCCACATTCTCAGGATTTTTGCACAGCCCATCCCCACTTCCTACCATGCTGGGTGGTCACCCACTCACTCTACTTCTGAACCCTTGTGGGGTAACCATCTTCTGAAACGTTTGATCCATGAACTCTTCAGCCTCCTGTGTGCTACGTAGTGACACCAGCTTCTCCTCGAGCTCAGAAACTCTAAGCTTGAGCAGCCGAAGGCACTTCCTACACACGTGTCTGCCAAGGCACACAAAGCATCCTGGAGTTCCCACTTGGCACTTGTTGTGCATGCAACCAGTCTCAGCTGCCCTGCCGTATTCCCAGACATATTTTAATATAAATATATTTATAATTCTGCATCTCTTTCCCCCTCTGCACCAAACTCCCACTCTCACCGAATTCCTTAACAGAATTCTCACTCTGTCCCACCTCACTCAGTTCCCTCTTCACGCTACTGGACTCTCTGCTCAAGGCTATGCATGGTTCCACGCCCCTACCTCTTCCCCACACCCTTTTATAATTGATGTTTCTCTAGTTCTCTTTTAAAAGGTATTCTGCTTAACCACCATTTTAGTAGAGGATTCCATGACCTAATAACCACACGTCTCTGCGTGTGTGTGTGTGTAAATAAAATTCTCCTAACTGCTCCCTCTGTTCTGTTCTCCAACCTGCCCTGAAGGAATAGACCCTTAGCTTCCCCACCGCAATATTAGTTTGCAGGAGAATGTTTAATGCAGGTGAAGTTTCCATTATTTGGAAAAATTCTACCTCTGCACACAGCCTCTCAATCTCTCTGACTTGTCCATCTCTCCGACCTCTCCTCCTCTCTTAACTCTCAACCTCGCTGACCAGCCATAACTTGGAGCTGTATTATTGCGTTATCTTTTCTTGTTTTCTGCCACCAATTTCATTGTATAATACTCACTGCTTCCTAAGGTCTCATTGCTCTCTTCTCTAGGATTTTTTTTGTCCATTATTTACTTAAATTGAAAGGCTCCAGTGAATCATTACTTACAGGTATGATTATTGGTGATGGCCTGAAACATAAGCACTTTGTTTCAGTCCTGTTGAGCTGAGCAGAGGAGCAGCAGGAAAGGTGTATAATGAGTAACAGTCAAGCACTTTCTACAAAATTGTAGGCTAAGACTCTGCTGGCCCTTTAAACAAGAGTTTGACACTTATTCTGGCCATCCACTGATGTGATCTTAGTGCTGCAGTACAAATGGATATGAAACTCAGAACAGTCTTGGTGAAATGTGAAGGGGAAGCAAATACACTGCTGCCTCAACAATGATCGAAAATAGCCATCTAATTATTACATTTACTCCGAAACTGAGATAGTTAACTATATCTTGCTTTAGAGTTGCCATGAGTTTATTTAGCTCACCACACTTTACAGTATATCCTGTGACTCCTTTTGAGACGTCCTCCCAAAGTGTAAGGCATTATGCCAAATGCAGGATGATTAAGAATATCATGTTCTCTATGAGCTTGAGGAGGAGAAGGAAAAGAGAAGGGTGTTTCAACAACAACAAGATTTCATTTGTATAGCGTCTTTCACGTCGGGAGGATGTCTGTTTCAGAGCAGATTAACCACCCGTGTAACTTCAACAAAGGAGCATTAATGCTGAAAGTCACACAAGTCCACAGGCTGTTAGCCCACTCCCATTTCCTGAGGAAAGTCATAGAGTCATATTATAGTATAGAAGGAGCATCAGCTGGTGCCAACTCATCCACGGGAGATGTCTGCTTGGCTCTGCTAGTTGAGTTGGAAGGTTCATAGTCCAGGCTCCATCTTTGCTTCTTCAGAGAATTTGAACCAAGGTATCAATCCACCTATTTAGGTGGCCATTAAAGATCTCCAACACAATTCAAAACTTTTATTGTTGAGGCTGACATTGCAGTGCAGAACTGAGGGGTGAGCACTGCATTAATGGAGATTCCGTCTTTCGGATGAGATATTAAACTGAGGTCCCATCTGGTGGATATTAAAAGGTCCAATGACTGCTGGAACAGAGTAGGGAGTTCTTCCCAGTGTCCTGGTCAACATTCCTCTAGATCGATTGGTCTTTCACCTCATTGTTGCTGATGGAACGTAGCTGATGCAAATATCTAATGTCAATCCAGCATTTGAAAATGCTGCCTTCACATTTTTACTCATCTGTGCCTCTCACACAGCTCAAAGGTCACCAGTCAAAGGAAATCCCTGAGGAAATCAACCGGATTTTGTCAATCCTGAACCTCGAAGATAAACGTCATTCCCAGACCAGCACTCTGTCAGGAGGCATGAAACGGAAAGTCTCGGTTGGAATTGCTCTCATCGGTGATTCAAAGGTAAAGGACGATGGACATATACATTCCTCACTCTCTTCGTGGGATTTTATTGGGAGTCAGTTGGCTGCCACGTTTTCCTGCAGATTCACAGCCAGTGCACTTTATAATAATAATCCTTGCATTTGATATAGCGCTTTTCACATCTTCTAGACGTCTCAAAGCGCTTCACAGAGTAGACTGTAAGGTGCATTGACTGTATTTGTGGACGAAATGCGGCAGCCAGTTGCTCCAGCCTGCTTCACGTCCCCACCTTGCTCACCCCACTATTGGGATAGGCAGGTGTCTGAGGCTGCAGCTTTTCTTTCTGTGGTCTATTGTTCTTACGTCTGAGCTCAGGGAGCCGATCGCTCATTATCTCAGAGGAGTGAACATCTTCCCAGGAAAATACGAAATGTAATTAGAAGCTACATTTAACTATTTAACTATCAAACCTTCTGGAACATTCGATTGCTGTTTGAAATATACCAAGGCACTCTGAGGTGATAGTCAGTATATTTCAACACCATGTAATGTTTATTCCAAGTTCCAAGCCTGTTCTCCATTTCTCTTTTTGTTAAAAACGTTCTTATTAATCTGCCACATCTGATGAAGGGCTTGCGGTCGTCATGTCTCGTAAAAGGCTTCACACTGAATTTCTAAACGCACTTTGCAGCAATTGCTGACGGTGTCTATTTTCAGAGTAATTTCACTTTCCCATTTCAGTCTAATAATCAGTAATTTACCTGTCTAAAGGAAAATCACATTTGATTTTCAAGGTCCCTTTGTAACATCTTTAAATTGTGTGGATTTCATTCGATTCAAAATGAGAAAATTACACACCCAGACTTCCTACAGTCACACAGGTATTACTTGGAATTAACTTTTTTTTTCCTACCAAAAATCTCTTTGTACAATTATGTATTGAAGCCATAGAACCATCAGTTAAATGTATCTTATTGTACCTTCTATCTCATACAGCTGGACAATCAGTTCAGCTTCCACCTGCAATGTACTGCTCGGTCTGTGTACCGCCATTGTACAGCTTTCCTCTTCAGCACAGCTCCATTGTGGTCAGAACCACACTCCCCAATCAGTTCAGTCCCGTTGCATTTTTGAAGCTCAGTCCATTATTGCTCAACTTGTATCTAGAACTCCGAACGAGCAGGAAATGTTTCAAACCTCTGATCGACTCAAACTCGATGATATCTGACTGGGGGGAGCGGGGTGGTGGGGTTGGGGGTCTGGTCTGACTGGGTAGAATGCAGGGTTTAACTGACTCCCTTATTATATCAAACCTGAGGCTTCTGTCTTAGGCGACATCAAAGCTGAACTTATGTGCATCGAGCCTCACTTGGGCAGAAATGATTGTTACATGAGGGATTGGTTGTCAAAGAGGTGCAACCTCCCTCCTGACTTCCCGGATTGCCAAACCTCACCGGTGTTTGTTATAAGCAGGGTTCGTTACAGTGAGGTTCGACTGTTATCTCTTTATCCGCCTCGCAGGTTGTCATGTTGGATGAACCGACCTCGGGCATGGACCCAGTCGCCCGCAGGGCCATGTGGGACCTTCTGCAGCATCAGAAAGTCTCCCGCACCATCTTGTTAACAACTCACTACATGGATGAAGCGGATGTCTTGGGCGATCGCATCGCCATCATGGCCAAAGGGGAGCTTCAGTGCTGTGGATCTTCACTTTTTCTGAAAAATAAGTATGGTACGTATTCCACATCACTGGACCATTGTGTATCATTAGTGCACTAGCCCTCGGGCTTCTCGCGCTGTTTCCTCAACGCTGCTACTGTGGGTGGAGTGGGCACCGGTTGCGATTTCAGTTTATCGGGTCACCTAAGTAGGTCACTTTTGCCCAGTCACTTGAGTGACCAGATCAGTGAGGTTCTACTGTAGTTGGTAGGACTCGCTCTCTTCGTCAGAAGGTGTGGGTTCAAGCCTCACGTCGGGACTTTAAACTCACGTAGTCTAGGCTCACTAGAGAGCAAGGTGGTGCTGAGGAAAGCACTGTGTAGTTGTAGGTGCGGTCCTTTGGTTGAGATGTTAAACCGAGTTCCTGTCTGAACTGATTCAGGCGCACATTAAAGTTGCCATGGCACAACTCGAAAGAATCCCCCAAATAAAATTGTTGTTCAAGTCATGATGATTTGTGAAACATTGTTGTTCGTCTATAAAATACACAGTCACTGTAAATCCTATGAAGCTCTTTGAGACGTCCTCATTGGGAACCCCCTATGGAACTGGAGGCATCATTATTGTCACTGTTATTTTTTAAAGTAAAAAGATTCCTTCCACCAGCTCAGCTTCGGTTGCCTGGGCACACTGACCAATCTCCATCCCAATCTGTGCTGAGTTTCTGAATTTGAGATGATAGTCTATCTCAGCACCCCTCGGTTAGAGGGGAAAATCACACAGACACATCCCTCCTCACCACCCAGATAAATTGGTCATTCATTTCCAAGTGCTTTGTGTGTAGATTGTTTGCCTGTAAATGCACAGTCATGATAATTAACCAGCAATTCCTAGTGAAGCAATTCAAGACACTTTGATGTAACTGACACAATATCGAATGCTAGGGTTATTGTTGTAGTGACTTGGTGATGTTTGATGGTTTCCTTCTGTCTCAGGGGCTGGGTACCATATGGTGATTGCGAAGGAGCCTCTGTGCGAAGTCGATGGCATCACTAAACTCGTGACTAGCTTCGTGCCCAACGCGGTTCTGGAGAGCAACATTGGCGCTGAGATCTCATACATCCTCCCAAAGGAAAGCACCAACAGGTATGGAACATGACTGCCCGCCACTGTGCACACATGTGTTCCCAGGGGTCTTTAATAAATATGCCAACTGAACCAGTCACTACAAAGGAATTACTGTGAAAGGACATATAAGACCCTATAAAATGCAAGTTCTTTCTTTCATATCATGCATTTCCACGGCTCTATGCTGGATCCAGTGTTGAACAAACCCAGGGCTGAGCTTCGCGACAATCAATGTTCTGCCTGCCAAGAAATAGCTTCCTGCAGCTTCTAAATATGCCAGAAGTCTGGGGCTGGTGAATAATTACCTCCCCAGGAACCCTAAGGTTCAGACAGCTGCCACTTGTCCTAGGGCCAGTCTCAGTTACAAATCCTATTATTTATTATAATAATAAACCTTGCATTTAATTTAGCGCCATATCAGGACATTAGAATTAGAAGCAATTCTGTCTCAATGTCTCAAAGCGCTTCACAGGATTTACTGTGAAGTGTAGTGACAGTTTATTTTCTATGCAAACGCAGCAGCCAACTTGCACACAGCAAAGTCCCACAAACAGCCCTGAAGTGAACCACTGACTTTATCTGGAGGATTGTCGGCCACTACAGCAGAGGAAACTCCTCATCTTTTCGAATGGCCCCCATGGAATCTGTAACGTTCACCTGAACAGGCAGACAGGACCTCGGTTAAACATCTCATCCGACAATGCAGTGCTCCCCCAGCCGAGCCTGTGAGTTCAACGTCCCGATGTGGGGGGTGGGGGGGGGGGGGGGTGGGGGGTGCTTGAGCCCACAATGTTCTGACTCAGAGGCGAGAGCGCTACCAGCTGAGCCAGGCTGACTCACAACGAAATAAACGATTTTAACTGGGGGCAAACGGAAGTGTTGAGCAAGTGTTGTTCCAGAGGAGTACGAGTGCCAGAGACTGGAATGATTGAATCGACGCCTTGGAGGCGGCTGTGAATTTGCTGCGATGCAGAGATCAGAAGCTGCTAATTTGTCACCTTGCCGGACGCAGCTCACTTAGCAGCTTGTGCCTCTCGTCCACCCACCTGTACAGATGGTCAGAGACAAAGCTTCACTCCGCAAGCGCTCACTGCCCTTTAATTTCCTGCCTGCTTATTGCTCAGAAAGTAAATCTGGACACACGTCTCATCTATTCTCCGATAACCTATCGGTGTTTCAGAGTTAACAAGCCGCAATCCGTCCAACTCATTATCTGTCTATACAGCAGCAATTTACGATGCGATTCTATTCATTTTGGATTCTGAAAGGACAAGGGGTGTATCGACTGAAGACGATTCAGTCCCTCTGTGAGGCTGCTGTCTGTGTGCTGACTGACTTACGCTGACTGTCTCTCATTCCCTCCTTTGAAAGTTTGGTGTCCGGGAGAGCTGTCTGTACGTTGATGGGCTGCATATGTGATGCGGGTGGCTGAACGAGTGTTACAAGGAGCTATGTCTGTGCTCACACAGTTGTCCTCTGGTCGTCCGCAGGCGGTTGTGTCTCTTTGATCATCCAGTGTTAACAAAAGCTCCCGACTCCTTCATTGATATGTAACCCCTGTGATTTAATGTCAGAATCATCTCCTCTGTTTAATATTGAGACTGTGTTTAGACAAAATTCACATTGAATCATAATCGTACATTCATTGCTGAAATGCTCTGGGAAGCTAATGCCAGTCAAAGCACACAGGAAAGTTTGTGTCGTGGGCAAAACTGAATGCAGTCTTGTACCTGGGAAAAGGTGAACTTAACATTAATGCAGAGCTGTGATTGACGTAAAAATCAATATGGTCTCCTTATGAAGCCCTGAACACTGATGGTAAAGGGAAACTCGCTGGGAAGAGTTCCTAATCCTGCCTTTATTCTGGAGTTGAATTAAAACTGCACAGTAAAGTACACTGATCTCCTCCTGGTTAATAACTATCTTTACTGAGGCTTTGGCATGAATTAAAGATCAATAATGGACGTGTCCAGCCCCCGGCACCACTGATTCCAACAACGTCCCAGGGAGCTGCTTTATATTTATCATCTCCCTGACATTTTGACATTCTAAATATCACCAATGCAGTTGCCGTTTCTGTCACCAAAGACGTGACTCTCGCATGGCATGTTTCCTTCCTGGTGCCAGGGTTGAAGACATCATGGAATGGGTGCAAAACGTTCTACAGGAGGAAGGGGAATATCCAGAAGTCGTGGTCCATGTTGGGATCCATGACATAGGGAAAAAAGTGCTGAGATCCTACAGGGAGAGTATCCGAAAATAGGGAAAAAGCTGAAGAGTAAGACCTCAAAGGTTATGATCTCTGGATTACTCCCTGTGCCTCGAGCAACTGATTATCAAAACAGCAGGATCAAACTCATGACTGCATAGCTGGAGAAATTGTGCAGAAAGGAGGGCTTCAGGTTCCTGGAACATTGGAACCAGTTCTGGTGCAGGTGGGACCTGTACAGGATGGGTTACATCTGAACAGGGCTGGGACCAATTTCCTCACGGGGAGGTTAACTGGAGGTGTGGAGAAGGGTTTAAACTAATTTTGAGGGGAGAAGGGAATCAGGATGTAGCACCAGAGATGAGAAATAAGTTACAAGTAAAACAGCTCATGAGCAATGGGAGGCCTTCAAGGAGGAGATAGTTTGGGGACAGAACAAATACATTCCCACAAAATGGAAAGGTAGGGCATCCAAATCTCCCTGGATGATTAAAGAAATTGGATTAAAGTAAAACAGAAAAAGGAGGTTTATGATAAATGTCCAAAATACAGAAGATAATCAAATAGAATATAGAAAGTACAGAGCAGAACTGAAAAAGGAAGTAAGGGGAGCAAAAAGATTGTATGAGAAAAGATTAGCGGTAACATTAAAAGGGAACCCTAAGGTATTTTAAAATTATATAAAGAATAAAAGATTAGTCAAAGGTAGGGTGGGTCCAATTCAGGACCAAAGAGGAAATCTTCTTACGGCGGCGGAGGGCATGGTGGCTTCCTGAATGAGTACTTTGCATCATTGTTCAGTTCTGGACACCACACTTTAGGAAGGATGTCAAGGCATTGGAGAGGGTGCAAAGGCGATTTTCTCATACAACGAGTTGTTTGGATCTGGGATGCATTGCCTGAAAGGGTGGTGGAAGCCGATTCGATAACAACTTTTAAGAGAGAAGTAGATAATTATTCGGGGAGGGAGCTGTGTATTCTCCCTTTGCTGGAGTGTACTGGTGAATGAGCCGTGTACTCTACATTACTTGTATCATGGAGTAACTGCCCATTAGAACAGTCCAATAATACCACGGTGATCGAACTAGACAACTTCCTTGTCTTTGCATCAGGCTTGAATCACAGCAATATTTCATACATTAGAAGATTCAAAGGGGCCGGGCTATTGCTCCAAACTGACATCAGGTCTGTGCTGTTTACTGTCCTCAGATTTGAAGCCCTGTTTGCCGAGATCGAAGAGAGGCAGAGAGAACTAGGAATTGCCAGTTACGGAGCCTCTGTCACTACCATGGAGGAGGTCTTCCTGAGGTCAGTGAGGGGCGAGTGGATTTCCCCGAACCGTAGAATATTATAGCATGTTAACGGCTCTGGGGTGTGAAGGAAACCTACCGGGTGGAGGGGAAGAGATGGTAACCATTTGGAGGGAGGTGAGTGGGTGGGTGAGTGAGTGAGTGCCATCATTTTCATGGCAGATCCTTCGTAACGTGGGTGGAGTGAGCGACAAGGAAGTGTCAGCCATTGTCACACTAGACTCATCCGCAACAGAAAATAAAAATTCGCTGTAAGAGAAAAACGTGGGGTGGGGGAGGAGAGATTAACAGGACTTTGTGAACACTCTGTATAATCAGCATTGTGTCCATTGCCCATGGGGGAGGGAGGTTACAGCTTTCGGATCACTTGAAGTCTGGCCTCGATCCATCTCAGCAGATGTTTCTCTTCCAAGTTTTCAACCCTGCCTGTCTTAGCCACACTCACAGGGGCCTCTGCGTTTGGTATTGGCCTTGGTTTCACTGATGAATCTTTTTTTTAAAAAAGGAAAAGCTTATCGCATGTAGCGTGAGGGCTCTGGGCTGCTACCCCGTGCGAAGGGCGCTGTATAAATACAAGTTGTCGTTGAAGCTGTTCAGAGTGTGTGTGTGCGTGTGTAACTCTGTGCCTGACTCGGCTGCTCACAGGGTGGGGAAGCTGTCCGACTCCAGCATCGATATCCAGGCTGTGCAGCTGCCCCCGCTCCAGTACCAACACGAGCGTCGCTCCAATGACTGGACCTCAGACGACAAGACCAGTCTGAACGGCCTGATCGACGGGGCGGACAACAGCAAACTCATCGCTGAGTACTTCAGCGTCGTCAAACTCAACACTGGGGTACGCTCGCAGACTGCTCACTTTCCTCCTTTCCCTTGAGGGAGTAGAATAATCAATAATCGTTTCATCATGTCGTAGAGACGTCCCAAAGCACTTCACAGAATGAATTGTAATTTTGTTTATATTGTGGGTGAAACAGGGTCATCCGCAGACATGGGGTCAATTTCCACATGTATGCGAATGACACCCAACTGTACCTCTCTGCCTCCACCCTTGACTCCAGGACCACTGCTGTCCTGACAGAATGTCTGTCAGACATCAAGTCCTGGCTGAGAGCTAACTTTCTTCAGTTGAACGTCAACAAGACCGAGGCTCTCCTGCTTGGCTCCTGTCAGCGCCTCCTCACCTCAGACGCTGACAGCATCACCATTCATGGTTGCACACTCCCAACTTACTAAGCCAGTGCGGAACCTTGGCATCTTGTTTGACCCTCAACTATCCTTTCTATCCTACAACCTCTGCAACATTGCCCGGCTCCTCCACCGTCTCACACCGCAGATTGCCGAAACCCTCATACATGCTTTCATTACATCGAGGATAGAACTATGCAAACCCCTTACTTGTCGACCTCCCCAACTCCTCCTTCCATAGGTTGCAGATCATCCAGAACTCTGCAGCCCGTGTCCTCTGCCGCACCAGGCTCCGTGACCCTATCACCCCCATCCTCGCCCCACTGGCTCCCATCACTCAGAGTTCAAGATCCTGGTCCTCACCTTCAAAGCCCTCCATGGTCTTGCTCCCCCCTACATCTGCGACCTCCTAATCCCCTACCATCCTGCCCGCTCCCTCCGCTCAGTGGCTTCCGGCCTGTTTCACCTCTCCCACCTCACCATGCAACCATTGGCGGGCAGGCCTTCTGCCACTCTGCCCCCACTCTCTGGAACTCCATCCCACAGTCCCTCCGCCTCGCCCTCTCTCTTGCCTCCTTCAAGACCCATCTCAAGACCTTCCTCTTCGACCGCGCTTTCGATCATCCTGCTTCCGCCCGCCCCCCCCCGCCCTCCACACTCCCCAATCCTGACCCCCAGCTCGGGTCCGAAACTCTGACTGTCCAGTGCCTTGGGACATCCGCCCGACGTGAAAGTTGCTATACAAATGTAATTTTGTTGTTGTTGTTGGTCCCACAAACAGTCGTGGATTGAGTGACTAAATTATAATTTTTTTTAATTGCGGGAATATTAACCCCAGAAAGCGATCCCCCAATAGATTGACAACCAGGTTCCTATTTATTGCTAAGTAAACAGGCACGTGGAGTTAGGAAACTTGCCTGAGGTTTTGCCCTGCCCGGGACTCAAGGGAATTGAATCTGGATTTTAAAAAGAGCCGCCTTCTAAACTGAAACTGAATTTAAGAATCTTAATCTTAGATTTTAAGACAAAATGGTTTCGGAGTGAAATAAATCCTCAGAAATGCACTGAATGGAAAATGCTATTTTACTGCTACTCTATCGCCACTTCCTGGCAGATCATGGAATTAAATAATAATAATAATAATAATAATCCTTGCATTTGATATAGCGCTTTTCACGTCTTCTAGACGACTCAAAGCGCTTCACAGAATATACTGTAAAGTAAACTGACTGTATGTTTGTGGGAAAAACGCGGCAGCCAATTGAGCACAGCGGCGTCCCACAAACAGTCGTGGAATGAAGTGACTAATTTTACTTATTTTTTTCTTGAGGGATTATTATCAGGCGTGTGTGTGGAGTAAGGAAACTTGCCCAAGGTTTTGCCCTGCCGGTAATCGAACCCCAAGTCTCTCGCTCGTGAGGCGAGCGCTCTAACCGCTGAGCTACAGGAATTGAACAAATTAATCACCAATTAATTTAACCTCTCTCGCAGGTCTCCCTGTTCTTCCAGCAGTTCCTCGCCATGTTTATGAAGCGGGCGCTCTTCAGCCTGCGGAACTGGAAGGTGGTTGTGGGGCAGTTCTTCGTGCCGCTTCTCTTCACGTTTTACGCTGTGATCGTGACCAGGAAGTACCCTGAACCCCAAGACTCCCCGCCACTCAATCTGACGCTGCAGAAGTACGGCCTAACATTCGTTCCCTTCTCTGTGGCGGCTGGTTCTCGGGGACTAGCCAAGGGCCTGGGTCAGAGCTACGCAGATCTGCTGCCTTCACAGAAAGGAAAACCAGTGAATGTTTCAGGTGAGACAAATAGAGAGAGAGAGAGATATTCAGGCTGCTGGAACAGGCTCAATGGGCTGAATGGCCTCCCCCTGTTACTAACTATTAACTTGTGCTTCACAACTGATTATGATCAGCTGAAGTGACTGCTTTTTGTGGACGCCATTCGCAGTCTGAGTTGAAGGACCAGTTTACCGGCAGGGTTGTTGTATAGGACACCGGACGAAACTCCCTTCTCTTTCTCAGTTCTGCAGTGGGGTGTTTAACGTCCACTTGAACCAGGAGACAAGACCTCAGTTTAACCTCAGCTAAAGAACAGTGCATCCAACAATGGAGCGCTTGGCTCAGTACTGCACTGGAGCACTGGTTACACCAACAGAGAGCGAGAGAGGTGCACTTACACCAGAGTCAGGCGAGTGTAATTACTGACGTGGACTGGTTGGGCCGAATGGGCTGATTCTGTGCCGTATTATTACTCTATATACTCTACAAGTGTGCGCAATTGGCTGCCACATGTTGCCCACAAAATGCACAGTCACTTCACTTTGCAGTATATTCTGCGAAGCTCATTGAGACGCCTCAACGACTTGATAAGGTGCTGTATCAATACAAGGATTATTATTATTATATGACCAGCCGAAGATGCAGTCAAACCTTGGGTATCTGGAGGCTGGTTGAGGTGGCAGGGAGTGGAGTGCGTATAGGTAGCTTTGGTACATTACCCTCAATGAGATGCTTCCTACTTCGTTTTCAGGTGACCTTATTCAGTTCTTGTGGAAAACCTCCGCCAAGCAGGGAGGTGAATTCAATGAACAATACGTGGTGGCGGCAGCTTTCCAGAACACAAGGAATCGCACCTTAGTGCACGCCCTGTTCAATAACAAGGGCTTCCACACAGCCGGCACCTCCCTGATGCTCGTAGACAACGCGATCCTCAGACTCCTGGTGGGACCCGGTGCTTCAATCAATGTCGTCAACTTCCCCCAGTCTCGCAACATCACTGAGAGGACAGTGGACCAGCTCACTGAGTACGTGGCAAACTTTAGCCTCTAGTTACGGGTGGGGGGGCGGAGGCAACACCAGCCTCCGATTCCAAGGTTGGTTGTGGAGCTTCTGTTGGCAGTAGAGTTAGTGAGCCTGAGATGGTCATTACCAGAGGGAAGTAAGGGAGGGCCCGGGGAAGGAGAATCGAGGGGCAGAGGGTGAGGGGTAATCAAAGGCATGGCATGTGTTGGGTATGGGCTGCGCCCTCATATTGGCACCAAACAACGTGGAGGTGTCTCAGCCTTTCACGTTGGGAGGACATCCCAAAGCGTTGGACAGTCAGAGATTTGGACCCAAGGATATTGTAGCCACAGATTGTGTAGCGAGTGGATTGTTCTGGTGGGTTTTGGTCCGAGCGATCGGTTTAACGTTCGCGCTGTGACCTGCAGGAGTCGCACCGGCTTCATCATCGCCTTCAACATGATGTACGGCATGGCTTTCCTGGCCAGCACCTTCGCTCTCCTGCTGGTCACCGAGAGGACCATCAAAGCAAAACACGTGCAGTTTGTCAGCGGAGTGAACACAGCCAACTTCTGGCTGTCGGCGTTCCTCTGGGACTTCATCAACTTCCTCATCCCGTCCGTCTTGATCCTGGTATGAGCCCGGCGGCAGGCAGGCAGGCGGCACCGACCCACAGGTTGTCCTGTACATCGATTACAGCGGCTTTGTAAACGCTCACTCGCACAACGAGACGCAGCCTGACGCTTGCTCACTCGCTCGCGCTCTCAAGCACAGGTCGATCACCTCAGAGTTAAATGTCCAGCTTGGAACCGGACCTCAATAACAGCTCCTTGTTTACTCTCCCCCCTGGTTGTGGTCCTACACGTGTGGAAACCCATCACCTTGCTTAAGAGCATCCAAACCAAACTGAGATTTCCATGGATTCCCACCTACACAAGGAGATTCCAGAGATAGATTACTGGAACGGAATGCGCTCTCTCTCTCTCTCCCTGGAGAGAGAAAAACCTCAGAGACAACCTGCCCCTCTCTCTGAATACATCGCATCCACAAACTGCCAGCTGCAGTATTCGGCAGCGCAATGGAAAAGCGCCATCTCCCTGATGTGCTCAAAGTACCTGGGATCCTGCTTACCTAATTCCAGAAAGTATTAGGCGCAGGTTGGGAGGAGCCAAGGCTTGGGGTCCCCAGCGTGTGCGTTGGGGTAACTGCTGAAGTCTAACCAGCTGAAACCGCGTAGCCTCGCATTGATGTTGCTGTCCGGCAAGCTTTCCTGCTGCTTGTCCACCCGAGACCACTATACCTGCTAGGGCTTTGGCTTGCATGGTTAATAGGAGCTGAGTGACGAGAAGAACCAAATGAAGTGAAGGGTCTTCTCCATCCCTTCCTCTCTTGTGACAACCATTTCCTCTGTGTGTTTGCAGCTTGTGTTTCAGGCCTTCAACGTGAAAGCGTTCGCTACGGGGAAGAGGCTAATGGACGTGTTGCTGCTGCTCATCCTCTACAGCTGGTCCATCATCCCCCTCATGTACATCCTCCAGTACTGTTTCAATCTGGCAGCGACAGCTTACTCCAGGCTCACCATGTTCAACATCCTCTCCGGCACCTCCACCTTCATAGCCATCACGATCATGAAGATCCCAGGTACTTTGAACACATCAGGGAGATGGGGCTTTTCCATTGCGCTGCCGAAAACTGCAGCTGTCAGTTTGTGGATGCGATGTATTCAGAGAGAGGGGCAGGTTGTCTCTGAGGTTTTTAATAATAATAATAATCCTTGCATTTGAGACAGCGCCTTATCAGGTCATTGATACGTCTCAATGTGCTTCACAGACTACATTGTAAAATGGATTTTACGGTATATTTTGTGGGGTTTTGCACTGTGTGGCTTTTCCAGCTCTGCGGTGGAGTGCCTCAGAGGGCAAGGTGTAGACAGACTTGCCCCGGGTCACCTCCATGTATTCATGGAGCCCCTATTTGTGATCCGTTGGAGGCAATAGGACTTCGCCTCTCGCTGATCACATGCCCAACACGAGGTGCGCTCAGCAGCTTGCTGTTGCAGCGCTTCATTTCTGCTACTAGATGTCACTGCATAATACAACCGAAGTAGGGCAGAACAAGCTGCATTTATACGGCAACCTTCATTCGTGGTTGTGTGGCAGGTACGACTGAACCTCCGTAGGATTGAAGATTTAACCTTTCTGACCGAAATTGAGAATATACGAGTCATGCAATTTAAATCAAAATGGAGACTGAAGCTCAGGATGTAGCTCAGTGGTTAGAGCACTCGCTTTGGGTTCGATTCCCGGCAGGGTGACCCCTTGGATACGTTTCCTTACTCCACGTACGTGCCTGATAATAATCCCTCAAGAAAGAAAAACAATAATAAATTGGTCATTTCAATCCACGACTGTTTGTGGGGACGCTGCTGTGCGCAATTGGCTGCCGCAATTCGCCCACAAATATACAGTCAATTCACTTTACAATCTATTCCGTGAAGCGCTTTGAGACGTCTAGAAGACGTGAAAACGCGCTCCACCAAGTGCAAGGATTATTATTATTATTATTATCAATGTTTGGAGTCAGTCAGTTACCGTCCTTGCTTTGTTTCCCGCAGAGCTCGAGTTGGGGAACTTGACCAACATCATGGACATGGTGTTTCTGGCTTTGCCCAATTACTGCGTGGGACAGGCCATGAGTGAATTTTACCAAAACTTTGAAATGATCCAGATCTGCACCAGCACCCCGCTTGCTGAGTTGCTTTGCCAGTCCTTAAGTGAGTATATCCAGCTGGGTATCAGCCTGGCTTAGTCGGTTACACTCTTGCCTCTGCCTTAGAGAATTGTGGGTTCAAGCCCTATGTCGGGTCTTTGAACTTGCCGTGTCTAGGCCGATTTTATCTGCGCCCCCTCACCCACCCCCTTCCATAACCCGTAAATGTTGTGTTATGTTTCCGGAAGGGAAACACAAAAATACCAGTTCAGCTCTAAGGAGTTTTCTGGTCTGTTAAATTAGGTTAAACCGATGAATGTTGAAGATCACATTGCACTATTCTAAACGTTTCTCCCAGTATCCTGGCCAACAATCCCCCGGGTGAAATTGGTCGTTCACTTTGAGGCTGTCTGTGAGACACTGCTGTGCGCAAATTGACGTTCACCTACTGTACCTCCTGGTGCTCACAAGCATTCAGAAACGATCTGGGGAAATGTGTATAAATTGGAGCTATGAAACGGGTGATATTCCGCCTAATATAAATTTATTTATGTGGCATTTCAAAGTATGCAGAATTTCTTATGTTCTGTAGATTTCTTAAAAGCTGGATTTCTTTAAATTCTTCCAAGAAACTTAAGTGGAAAGAGAAGGCTCGTGCGTGCTGTTCTGTGTTTACTTCCCCTTTCTTCCCAGCTCGGCATCAAACTTTGTTCAACGCTTCGAGACGTTATCTCCCTACCTTTCTGGTTTGCCTACCCCCCCACTCCACCACCCGCTGCCTTTGTTCGGCTGGCTCTGGCCTCCTGTTCATCCCTCGCCCCCTCTGCTCCACCATCGGCGGCTGTGCTTTCAGCCACTCCGCCCCGAAGCTCTGGAACTCCCTCCCTCAATCCTTCTGCCTTGCCCCCTCCCTCCCCATTTTCAAGTCCCACCTAAAACCTTCCTTTTTGATCGTTCTTATGGTCATCTCCTCCCTCTCTCTCAGACTCTCCTCCCTCCTCCCTCTCTCAGACTCTCCTCCCTCTCTCAGACTCTCCTCCTTCCTCCCTCTCTCAGACTCGACCACTGACAAGCGCTCCGGGATGCTATCCCGCTTGAATGGCGCATATAAATATTGTTGTTGCTGTTGTTACCCTACATGAAAGGGTGCTACATAAATGCAAGTTGTTGCCTTTACACACTCAATACTGATTGATGTTCTCATTGACAGACTTCACCTACCAGCTGGATTACTTATCCTGGGAGAAGCCTGGGATTGGGCGTTTCCTTGCTGCTTTGGCCATCCAGGGCATCGGGTTGTTCAGCATTCTCTTCCTCATTGAGCTTAACTTCTTCCAAGTGTTGAAAAATGTTTTCTGTTCGCTCTGTCAGAGAAGGACCCTGGTGAGTAGAAGGAAGTTTTGAATTCACTACGTGCAACAACAGCAACTACCCCAAGGTACTTGAGTTTGGCCTCTGCAGTGTCACTGGATGTTTACGATGGACTGCGGGGGTATCTCAGTTGGTAGCACTCTCACCTCTAGCTCAGGAAGCTGCGTGTTCAAACCCCAATAATAATAATAATAATAATAATCCTTGCATTTGATATAGCACTTTTCACGTCGGGAGGACGTCCCAAAGCGCTTCACAGAACACACTGTAAAGTGAATTGACTATACATATTTGTGGGCGAACGCGGCAGCCAATTGCGCACAGCAATGTCCCACAAACAGTTGTAGATTGAAAATGACCAATTTATTATTGTTTTTGGTTTTGGAGACTTTGAGTTTATAGTCCAGATATTCCAGGGTAGTATTGGGGGAGCACTACAATGTCAGAGGTATCTTCCTCCAGATGAGACATTAATACAAGGACCTAACTTACTTGTTCATGTGCGAATGTTAAAGGTCTGTGATAACAATTTAAAAAGAGAATGGAGTTACTACCGAGTGTCCTGGCCAACAATCATCAAGATAGATTGGTCGTTCACTGCATGGCTGTTTATAGGATCTGCACTGCTGCGCTTAATAAAAAAAAAATCACAATACTAAGTCACTACAACATTATTTACTAAAATATAGAAGAATTAGAGGTGATCTTATAGAAACCTATAAGATTCTTAAGGGTCTTGACAGGGTAGGTATTGTGAGACTGTTTCAACTGGTTGGAGAAACTAGGGGTCATAATCTCAGGATTAAAGATCAACCTTTTAGAACTGAGTTGAGAAAACATTTCTTCACTCAGAGGGTAGTGAAGTTATGGAATTCTCTACCCCAGAAGGCTGTGGATGTCTGTCATTGAACTTATTCCAGACTGAGATCGACAGATTTTTAAAAGCTAAAGGGATCATGGGATATGGGGATAAGGCGGGTAAATGGAATTAGGTTAGAAGATCAGCCATGATTTTATTAAATGGCGGGGGCGCTCGAGGGGCCGAACGGCCTATTCCTGCTCCGATTTCTTATGTTCTTATGTTACCTTAAGCACTTTGAGGCATTTGAACCTAGAGCACTGTAATTCGGAGTAACGCTCGCTGGGGGCACAGGGTAGCATTTCCAGGGGTGGGGGAGGGGAAGGTTGCCTGGGGTGTGGGGGGGGAAAGGTTGCCTGGGGTGGCGGGGGAAAGGTTTCCAGGGGTGTGAAGGTGGCCTGGGGTGCGATATCCCTCCTAACACTGCCAACTTGTTTCTGATAGCAACCAGCGTTGAGCAAATTGCAGCTTTTGGAAGACAGTGATGTCCTGGACGAGCGAAAGAGGACAGAAGAAGTACCAGTCTCTGAACTGGACAGCCCCCTTCTAGTGAAGGATCTCTGTAAGGTATGTGAGACAGATGTGCAATCACTCAATCTGTGACTCCACAGTGTTCTGCTTCCAGCCATCCTCTCTGAGGAAGGAACAAAGTCTTGTTTACTCCCAACTCGGGTCCAAAACACTGATTGTCCAGCGCCTTGGGACATCCTACTGATGGGAAAGGCACACACACACACACTTTCATATTTGTATACCGCCTTTCACATTGGGAGGACATCCCAAGGCACTGGACAATCAGTATTTTGGACCTGAGCTGGGAATCGGGATCAGGGGAGTTTGGAGAGCAGGTGTGGGGGAAAGGAGGGTGACCAAAGGCATGGTCGAAGAGAAGGGTCTTGAGACAGGTTTTGAAGGAAGCAATGGAGGGGGCGAGGTGCAGTTCCAGAGGATGGGGGCAGAATGGCTGAAGACCCACCCGCCAATGGTGGGGCGAGCGAGGTTGGGGATGTGAAACAGGCCGGAGCCCGCTGAGCGGAGGGAGAGGGCAGGTTGGTAAGGGGTTAGGAGGTTGCAGAGGGAGGACGGGCGCAAGGCCATGGAAGGCTTTGTAGGTGAGGACAGGATATTGAACTGTATTCTCTGAGTGATGGGAAACCAGTGAAGTCGGGCGAGAATGGGGGTGATAGGGTCACGGAGCCTGGTGCGGGAGAGGACACGGACTGCAGTGTTCTGGATGACCTGTAGCCTATGAAGGGAGGAGTTGGGGAGACCGAAACGCAAGGCGTTTGCATAGTCAAGCCTGGACGTTATGAATGAATGTATTAGGGTCTCAGTGGCCTGCAGTGTGAGACAGTGATGGGGCCGGGCGACATTGCGGAGGAGGGGGAAGGCAGAGCGGGTCATGGCACGGATGTGGTGTAGAAAGGATAGTTGAGAGTCAAACAAAACCCCAAGGTTCGGACTGGCTCAGTGAGGTGGAGTGGATGGTGATGTTGTCAGTATTGAGGTGTAAAGGCGCTATACAAATGTAATTTTGTTGTTGTAGTTGTTAGCTGGGTTCTGTGCTGTGTGGTACTAACCCCAACTGTAATCACAATGTCTCCCTGGAGGAACATCAGTGCACGGATGCAACAGAAGCGTACCACAGACCCACATGCCGGCAGATGAATTCATACACGCAAGGGGATCCAAACACTCACATACGTGCATGTGCACATGAGAAAGCACGTTCCAGCAGACTGTCTAGATTGCAAGTATATTGGCTGATTTTTCTTGTCTGCAGAAGTGACAAAGAGGAAACTAAACCCCAGTTGCTGCCCTGTCAGCAATCAGCTAATTTAGCCCAGACTGGGGACCTGGCTCAGTTTCTCACTGGAGAATCTCTCCGGCTGTTGGAGGGAAGTGTGCGGTGGGAACCGCTTCCCTAATTTTGATGTGATGAGTTTCGTTGAAGAGCGCAGCTACTGCTACTGCTGCTTTCATGTTTTATGTAGAGGGACACAAAACCAAGCCCGCAGCATTCTTCACACTGCGATTTCTTTCAGGTGTATCATAAAAATGGGGTGTTGGTTGCAGTGGACAGAATCTGCTTGGCTGTAAATAAGGGTGAATGTTTCGGGTTGCTTGGATTCAACGGAGCCGGGAAGACGACCACATTTAAGATGCTGACGGGTGATGTGGAGGTGACCTCAGGAGATGCCTACATAGATGGGTACAGCATCCTCAAAGATCGAAGGAAGGTAACCTTTTATACGTTTGTTCCTCTTGCAGTTGCTTTTTTCGAGCACAAGATATACAGTCAAATTACTTTACAGTATATTCTGTCGAACACTTTGAGGCATCTCAACGACATGATATGCTGCAATAATTGCTATTATCACATTGTTTAGGATGTATCAAAGCTCTTCGCAGGAATCTACAGGATAGGTTACTGCGTACTTGTAGCAAACAGTGCAGCCAATTTGCGCACAGCAATGTCCCACAAACCTCCGTAAATTATGAAGCGCTTTGAGACGTCTTGATGTTAGAGGCACTGTATCAAATGAGAGGATTATTATTATTAAATGATGAGTTGTATCCGCTTTAGGAGTTTGAGTTCTCCCTGAGCTTTCTCACACACTGAGCCCTCTGATCTCTGCGTTCCTGAAAAGGTCCAACAGAGGATTGGCTACTGCCCGCAGTTTGACGCTCTGCTGGACTACTTGACGGGCCGGGAGACGCTGTGGATGTATTCCAGGTTGCGAGGCATCCCCGAGCGGTACATCACAGCCTGCGTAGAGGACGTGTTGAGGGGCCTGCTCCTGGAGCCCCACGCCGACAAGCTGGTGAGAACCTACAGGTAAGACTGAGACCCTCGTCAAGCAGAGGGGTAGCGGAGCTGAAGCCGTGTTCTGTTCCCTACATTGCTCTGTTCTCTGTGTGTTACGCCTCCAAAGCCACAAAATACAGTCAATTCATTTTACAGTATATTTCGGGAAGGGCTTTGAGACGTCTCGAAGATGCAATAAGGCGGCACATCAAATGCAAGGATTATTATTCCTATTAACGACTTGTATGTATATAGCGCACTTCAAGCGGGGCAGTGTCTCAGAGCGCTTAACAGTGGTGGAGCCCATCGCTGAGCCAGGGAGGGGAGGGAGAAGGTGACCGTAAGCACGGTCTGGCTGAGAGGTGCGTTTTCTCTGCGATCACAACAACAATCTGCACTTATATAGCGCCCTCCGCACCGGGCCATGCCTCAGAGCGCTCGTAAACTCCGCGCCAACACCACTGGCCTGGGAAGAGGGTAATGGATACAAATTCCTACCTCCCCCTCCCACCCCCCCCTCTCTCTCCACTCAGTGATCGAGTCCCATCAAAGGAGGCCGTCAGGGAGATTGTGCTAGTTTTTAGCTTCACCATATCGTTCTCATCAGGGCTGAGGTCAAGGTTCACTGGGAGCCCTGCGTTTCACTACGACTACAGAATGTGTTGAGCCGCGAGCCCACAATCAGTGACCGTGACACCAACAGACACTGACCGTGAGACCAGCAAACTGTGAACATGGGACTGGAACTTCTCGCCCCCCACTCCATCCCTCTTTTAGATCAAGACCTTCCTCTTCGACCGAGCTTAAGGTCACCTCCTCACTCCCCACCGGTTCGGTGTCGGGCTCCAAGACCGTTAAGCATTCCCGGCGTGAAGGGCGCGATGAAGCTGCAAGGTGTTTCTGTGTTCTGTCTGATGCTGTTTCTCCGTTGCCAGCGGTGGGAACAAACGGAAGCTGAGTGCCGGAGTGGCTCTGATCGGTGGGCCCCCCGTCATCTTCCTGGATGAGCCGTCCACCGGGATGGATCCCATTGCCAGGAGATTGCTGTGGGGAGCAGTGACCCGGGCCCTGGAGTGCGGGAAATCCGTTGTCATCACATCCCACAGGTAAGGCTTTGAACCAGCAGGGGTCAGTCGGCAGGAAATTGGGAAAAATCCCTGGAACCTGATATTGACTGTTTAATGCTCCTCCTGACTATTGGTTGAACTTTTGACCATCCTCTTGTTTTGATTCAGAATTGGCTTACTTGCATTCAGCCTTGGTGTCTGTCTTGAGTGCCGCACAGAGAGGTAAGCAGATGCTGCTGAAGCTCTGCCAACTGCTGGAACAGTGTCTGGAATGTGCGCAGGAAGATGGGGGCAACGCTCTTGCACATTCCGCATCGAGCTGTGGTGCTCACCCCAAAGGCTCACATGACGTTCCTGGTACCTGCTATCCTCCTGAGTAAGGGCTCAAAACTTGTGCTTGTTGGTTGTCTCTTGACCGACTAGTGACGATCCTTTGGGAGGTGAGCGTGGTCTTCCTCGGGGCTGAGCTGGCTGATACTGTGGTCCTCCATGACCACCTGATGGTTAATCCACCTCATGCTGACCAGAATGACCCGCAATGCCAACACTAACCAACAGGGGACTCACCACTAAAACCTTCGTCTCTGTACGGCACTGTGATAGCAGAGAGTCGAGAAATACATTATGCTTAGATGGGTTTGTATAAGGAATTCAAAAGGAACAATTTTGTTGTATAAAACATACCGCGGGTCGGACGCTGAGGGGAGAGTGCCCGCTGTCTACGGTCACAGTTGTGAAGCTGGTCCTGCTTGTGTTTTTTTTCAGTATGGAGGAGTGCGAGGCGCTGTGCACCAGGGTGGCAATCATGGTGAACGGGCAGTTCAAATGCCTAGGGAGCCCCCAGCACCTCAAGAATAAATTTGGCAGCGGCTACACACTGATAGCCAAAGTGAAAGGAGACGGGGAGCCTCCCAGACTCGAACGTTTCAAGGAATTCATAGAAACCACATTTGAAGGTATCGATGCCCTTGTCTTTGCTTTTCCCCTCCAGCAGCTCACCTGCGATCGCAAAATTCACTTTACGGTACGGTCTGTGAAGCCCTTTGAGACGTCTCAACAACGGCGTGATACGGCACTAAATCATCAACAACAACAACAAAATTACACGTGTATAGCACCTTTCATGTCGGGAGGACGTCCCAAGGCGCCGGACAGACAGAGTTTCGGACCCGAGCTGAGGATCGGGATGGTGGAGGGTGGGTGGGGGGGGGAAGCAGGGTGATCGAAAGCACGGTCGAAGAGGAGGGTCTTGAAGGAGGCAAGGGAAGGGGCGAGACGGAGGGACTGCGGGATGGAGTTCCAGAGGGTGGGGGCAGAGTGGCAGAAGGCCTGCGTACCAATGGTGGTGGTGGGGGTGAGGCGGGGGTTGTGACGCAGGCCGGAGCCCAATGAGCGGAGGTAGCAGCAGTCCTGGAGTCAAGGGTGGAGGCAGAGAGATAGAGTTGTCATCTGCGTACACGTGGAAGTTGCATCCTTGCAAATCAAATGCAAGGATGATTATTGTTATTATTAATAATATTGTTATTATGCATGTAACCGTTATATTTTTACACACGTGTGAACTTCCTTGTGCTTTAGAACTGAGCTCTTGTCATACGTAATATAACCAAAGTCTGGGAGCGAGCGATGGTTTGTAATCTAATCGAGGATTTCAGATGGTTTGGGTGCAGATGTCAAAAGGACAAGTCGCCCTTGTATCCCCTGCTGCCTGGTTTGTCAGTCGGAGGAGGAGGAGGGCTGCCCGTTTGCTGCCTGTAGGTGTGTGCGTGCTTCTTGTGTGTTTGTTGATTTTTTTTTTTGCCTCTTGCCCTAACCTCCTGGTTGTGTTTCTGTCACAGGCAGTGATTTAAAAGATGAGCATCAAGGACGACTGCACTACCATCTAAACCGTAAAAATCTGTCCTGGGCTCAGGTAGGTTTGCTTCTGCTGGTGCATCTGTGTGTGAATCACTAGGAAAAGCAAGTGGGGGTCAACGAGGCTCTGGCTCCCCATTTCGCCCCCACCCAGAAGTTTGAGTACAAGATCCATGTCCTCACTTTTAAAGACCTTCACAGTCTTGTTCCTCACTAACTCTGCGATCTACTAAAACTTTACCATACCGTCCATCTACAACACCAACAACATGAAGCTGCCTGGAGCCCACTGAGCGGAGAGAGCGGGCAGGATGGTAGGGGGTTAGGAGGTCACAGAGATAGGGAAGAGCAAGGCCGTGGAGGGCTTTGAAGGTGAGGACCAGGTTCTTGAATTGGATCCTCTGAGTGATGGGAAGCCAGTGAAGTCGGGCAAGGATGGGGGTGATAGGGTCACGGAGCCTGGTGCGGGAGAGGACACGGGCTGCAGAGTTCTGGATGATCTGCATTCTATGGAGGGAGGAGTTGGGGAGGCCGACAAGCAAGGAGTTTGCATAGTCAAGCCTCGATGTTATGAATGCATATATGAGGGTTTCGCTGGCCTGCAGTGTGGGATAGTGGCAGAGCCGGGCGAAGTTGCGGAGGTGGGGAAGGCAGAGCGGGTCATGGCACGGATATGGGGTAGAAAGGATAGTTGAAGGTCAAACAAGATGCCAAGGTTCCGGACTGGCTTAGCAAAGTGGAGTGTGCAACCATGGATTGTGATGTTGTCACCGCCTGAAGTGTGGAGGCACTGACGGGAGACAATCAGGAGGACTTCGGTCTGGTTGACGTTCAGCTGAAGAAAGTTAGCTCTCAGCCAGGACTTGATGTCTGACAGATATTCTGTCAGGACAGCAGTGGTCCTGGAGTCAAGGGTGGAGGCAGAGAGGTACAGTTGGGTGTCATCCGCACACATCTGGAAGTTGACCTCTGCGGATGACCCCATGTCTGCAAACCCATGTCTGGAAGACGTGGTAAAGGCGCTATATCAAGTACAAGGATTATTATTATTATTTTATTATTATTAATTCCCGTTCTTGTAATTAGTTACTCTCTTCCGCTTTCCGTTCCCTCTGTTCCCAGGTTTTTGGGATCCTGGAAAGAGCCAAGGACAAATATTCCCTCGAGGATTATTCCATCAGCCAGATCTCACTTGAGCAGGTCTTCCTCAGCTTCGCTCATTTCCAGCGCTTTACAGAGGAAGGAAAAAAATAAGTGCCGGCCACACCTGCCAAAGGCCCTCGATGAGAACCCACCGCTGGGGCTTTGCCAGGTTTCTGCACTGCACAGAGAGCAGCCCTGGACTCTGTATGTTGTAGACAAGGGGTAAAGAGTAAAGATGCATTTAATCCAAAGGGGGTAATTATGATTGGGTTTAGCTGGGTCCTGACAGCTGTTGGGTCCTGTCCTTCCCAGTCAGTTGGACTCCCAACATCTGTCACGTGATGGGGTGGGGGAGGGGGGAGTGGGGGGGGGGTCGTTATTAAGGACATATTGATGACAAAGATGTCTCCAGAACTGGGCATCTTTGTTGCTATCTGGGCTGTTCTGCTTTGGTGCAATATTCACTACACATATTGTTATGTGACAGGATTATGTAGTTACTGGGGACAAATGGGCACTGAACGTGGCTCAGGTCAATCTTTATTTAACACAGATCTCGGTGACCTGATAGTTTATTGTGTGTCGAGGGCACGGAGGAAAGAGCCGAGGAAAGTCAGTGAGGTGGCAGGAAACACTGATTGTCAGGTGAGGGTGACCTGGGAGAAGCCGTGTGTGTTCCCTGGGGGTCACCAGTACCACTCTTCACCTGGTAAATGTGGCAAACTGCAAACATGCCAAGTGATTGAAATGGGGCTGTTCACATGTGTAGTGGAGAGATCATCGAGATGGTGGTGGGGGAAATCAGGCAGAGTTTAAACATCAGGTCACCATCCAGTAGCCCCTACTGGACGATGTATATGAAGACAACGGGGCATAATCTTAAAATTAGAACTCGGCCATTTAGGGGTGAAATCAGGAAGCATTTTTTAACGCAGAGGGAAGTGGAAATCTGGAACTGTCTCAGACTGAGGTGGACAGATTTTTTTGTTAGGTTAAAGTTATCAAGGGATATGGGGCAAAGGCCGGTAATTGGAGTTGAGGCACAGAGATCAGCCATGATCTAACGGAATGGTGGAACAGGCTCGAGAGGTTGAACGTCCTATTCTTGGCTCTTGTGTTCCTAGGACAAGGTTGTAGTCAGCTGTGACACTCACAGTGCAGGCTCACAATGTGAAGAGTGGTCACTTTGGTGGTGGAGGTGCCTGAGCGAGCCCCCATGGAGCGAGCTATACCACAAAACAACAACAAAATTACATTTGTAAAGCGCCTTTCACGTCGGGAGGACGTCCCAAGGCACTGAAATTTCATACGCGAGGTTTCAGCAGTTGAATGTAGAAAATTACTTTTTTTAAAAAAAAGCAAAATGTTGCTGTTATCCTTTGACTTGAAAATTGTTTAAAAACACTGAAGCTGCAGCACTGATGTAGCCCATCCCTCCCTGGATCACAACCTTTCTCGTCTTGATTCTATCGATGCTGTTATGATCACTTCACCTTTAAAATGTTCCTGCTTTGTTTCAGCCGAACTTCGAATACACTGACTGACACTGTTTTATATCCCTGAGTCCCTCATAGCTTTCAGGTCTCATCCCTCCGGCTCTTTTTTTAAGTCATTCTGTCCAGGAATGTCAAGTTCTCCAATACTTGTACTCTGATCTTTTAATGCCAAGGCTTGGCATCACTACTATATATGTACACCTAAAATGATTTACAGCAAACCTTGTTGTCAAACGGTTTATAATCTTAAAATTTCTGAAAAATGTCATGAACATGACATTCATACCTCTAGTGACATAATAAGGGGTGGGAGCAATGTTGTGATGTGGCCGGTTTACTGAGTGTGTAAAATGTGGTGCTGGGGATTGGCTGCTTATAAATACAAGTGTTTTTTGGGTGGGGGTTGGCTTTCTTTTTGTCTTTTACATGGAGACTGCAGTCCTTTTTAGTGTAATTTATATATTTATTTGCAGAATGTGACCCGTTTTCTTATGAAATATCTCACTTCAGTTTTGTGGAGGGATGTAAATGATGCAAATAAAATAATGCAGATCGATTGGTCATTCACCTCATAGCTGTTGACATTTTGTGTGCAAATTGACTGCTTTTGCACACAAATACACAGTGGCTTTACAAATAATAAAAACAATAATAATCCTTGCATTTGATACGGCGGTTTATCACGTCTTCGAGGCGTCTCAAAGCGCTTCACAGAATATAGTGTAAAGTGAATTGGATTTTGTGGGCGAAAAAGATACACAAAAACAAAATACACCACACCTTGAGAGGTGTCAGCATTATCAGCACTGTGTCAGATTTAAATATAGATCAGACTTAAAAGATTATTATTAACTTTGGCAAACTTCATTTGCTTGAAAGCCAAAGTGTCCCGTGCCACAACTTGATGTGGAACAACAAACCTAACTTGCTTTTCAGCAAACTTCTGAAATCTCTGAACCTTCGGGATTTGAGAAAGATACCGTGAGTCCCGGGCCTGGCTTCTCCCTGTGAGATGGTCAATATCGATCACGATAACTATCGTCAGAGTGTGGCAGTGCATTCATCACAGTCAATGCAATGAATGTTGTATTGGAGGCTGACAATTTGTGCCAGCAACATCCTCACGAGCAACAAAACTCCAGACAGTTCATTTGATTTAGGAATGAATTTGGATGTAGAGGGAATATAAGGAAGCACATTCAGAGGGGGAGGGGGGTAGTGGGTTGCCTTGAAGCAGCAGCATAACATGAAATAACCTTGTGCTCATTTAATCAGAGAAAGATGCGTTTTAAAATGTAAAGCTGATGGTTTTCTCTGTGGCGTATTTGTACGGTTTGAAGGCATGTCAGCACTTGTGTTTGCTGACAACAACGGCACTGTCCACTTTGTTTGCAGTGATCCCTTATTAATTACAGTTGATGGGATGGGATCTGCTAATCTCTGTAAGTACTGTTTGTTATAATGCTATGGGGCTGGGGGGAGGTGGTCATAATCCTTCGTCTTTGAGTGAATGATCTGATGGCCCCAGAGAAAATATCCCTGTACAATGGAAAGCCTGATTCTAACGAACGTATAATCTCTCTCCACTCCCTGCTGAGTGCAGTCCCCCAAACTGGAGCCTTTTTTTTGTTTTTTAAAAAAAGAGCTGAATGACATTCATGTGTGTTTGATTCTGAGCATTTTTTTTTTTCCCCCGTCTTTCCACCAAGAATTTTTTTTTTGGTCACTCAATCCACGTCTGTTTGTGGGGCACTGCTGTGTGCAATTGACTGCTGTGTTTCTCCCACAAACTACACAGTCAATCCACTTTACAATTTATTCTATGAAGCGTTTTGAGACGCGATAAAGCACCATATCAAATGCAAGGATTGTTATTATTATGTTTATTATGATTATTATCGGCCCCAATCTCTGTCTCACCGGCTGAGTGAATCTCCAAATTGACAGCAAATGACAGAGCTGCCGGGCATTCGGTTATTTTCCTGTGTTGGGGAATGGGAGCAGGAGGCAGCTCCAAGCACTTAACATGTGGTTACATTCCAACGTTGTTGTCTGATCTCGAGGAGCAGAAATTGTGAGATGGCGACCCTACATTACGCCGACATCTAAGAGAATTCCTGAGTTTTGGGGGAAGGAAAATCAGGATAGCTGCTAACATACAGGGAAGAATCACTAAAGAGCGCTCCCTCGATTCAATAAACCAACATCCTGGGTGATCAAATCTGGGCAATGCAGGGTGAGTGAAACTGAGCAGACAGGATCTGTTACAGGCTGGTTACGTTCTTCCTTGTAAAGGATGTGGGGGGGATAGGGGGGTGTCATTTAATTTATGGGTATATGGAAAATGCAGGAAGACCCCAGGTACTTAGATACAGATTCATGCAGCTTATTGCTGCATTAAAAACCTAACGCACTGATAAATAAAGTTAGGGGTTCCTTTTTTCCTTCAGAAATGCTTGCAGGATTCCTGGGATCATGATGACACAGTGGAGGGACTGCGAGTGACGAGGTTACGATGGAGGCTGGGGAAATCCGCTCAGTGTCCCGCACACAATCCTGCGTTTATTTTCTGTTCCCACGGTCCATGTGTCTTGTTTACTTGTTGGTTTCTAATTAAATGGTGCAATGGAAATAATAATGGATCAAGAATAATAAAAAATTGTTGAACCCATAGCAGGAGGTGGTGTGCTGTTGTCTTTCTTTACCTTTAAAAAGAGATTGTGTTTTTTTTTTGTGAACGAGGTTAGACCCCACTCACCCCCATTAAACCAAACTAGACCAAAATGTGTTCCTCAAGAGGACGCGTGTTGTCCCCGCAGACAACCCCCCCCCCCCCCGCCAACACTATAGGCCCTCAAATCATCAAAGGACAATGTGGATCTTGTACCAAGGACCAAGGTTTCCCCGCTTTGGGTTCTGTTACAAGATGGGCTTTGTGCCCCACCCCCACTCCATGTCACCCTCCCTTTCAATCACGAGTTCGCAATGGTTCACCGGTTCACAACGCACAGGACGTACACGCATTTTCGGGACGCACTTTTTTAATCACAGTTGGGAACGCCCCTGTTTGCAGCGCATAGGTGTGCACAAACGCACTCTGCTACAGCCCTCTTGCCGAAGATGGCTGGCACAATACGCTCACGCTTACAGTCAAAACACCGGAACGTTTCGCATCGCTCATTGTCCGAGTTCAGGTGTCAGGAAGGGGACCGGCGAGCACCCGACGCATGCGGAATTGACGTGCCGGCCGGGGGAGAAAGCACACCAGGCGCCGAGTGGAGTATAATAATAATAATAATAATTGGTTAGAGCACTCGCTTTGCAAGTGAGAGACCTGAGTTCAATTCCAGGCAGAGGGCGAAACCTTGGGCAAGTTTCCTTACTCCACACAGAGCCTAATAATAATCCCTCCAAAACCAAAAACAATAATAAATTGGTCATTTTCAATCTACGACAGTTTGTGGGACATTGCTGTGCGCAATTGGCTGCCGCGTTCGCCCACAAATACACAATCAATTCACTTTACAGTGTGTTCTGTGAAGCGCTTTGGGACGTCCTCCCGACGTGAAAAGCGCTATATCAAATGCAAGGATTATTATTATTATTATTATGGAGGCGATAGGGCTACTGACTGAGCCGAGCTGACTGGTACGCAACACGCAAAACAACGGCAAAGAAATACAACCGTTTGCAGTGTTGCTGAGAGAAATACACACTCATTGGAAACACGAGTCCTTTGAAAAAAATGACTCCACTACCGCATGCACAGTCACTACACTTCTGCAAAGTCAATCAGCGCTGGAGCTGGGGAGCAACGTTAAGGCCATGTCTTGTCCCACCAGCAGGTGTCGCTACAGTCAGAGAGCGAGGGAGAGGGCGAGAGACAGACGTATCCCAGAACGCTTCGCGGTATTTGCATAATTTACGCATGCCCGAAGCGCAGTCCATTTAGGCGTCGAGGCGGTGTATTTCGTACGCCGTTTCCGTTCGGACAAGTGCGGGACGCGAGTCGTTTTTGCATTCCCGCCGGGAGAGGCGGAGGCGCGGACGGGCCCCCCCCCCGATGGATTCACAGTGAGCTGAAGGTGGGGCGCCGCGGATGCAGTCCGCCGCCGCGGCGGGGACTCAGGTTAAAAGGGTTTCTGCCGTGAGTGGCACACGGAGGAGGCACCACGTGCTCTATCCGTGCGGAATCGACATCAAGAGATTTCGGAAGCATAATTTTTGGCGACCGGGGCAGCCGGTGATCACGTTACCTGGCGCTCCCCCCTCACCCTCTCACTGTGCCAATTACAGATCAATACCGCCGATCGATCAATCGATCGATCCATCGATTGATGGGTTCGAAATACGCAGCTGATTCTGTGACTTGCTCCGCTGTTTATTTATGGGGGGGGAAGAGGTCTCCTTGGAACTGAACCACCACCGGGCCGGAATTCAGCCAGTCCTCCTGCGGCCATCCCGACGGTCAGTACCGTTCCGGAGCCGGGTGGGGGCCCGCAGCGCTCGAGGCGCGGGGCGGGGGCCAGGGCCTCGCCAGAGTTCACTGCGACACGATTCGAACGCCCTCCTCGCCCGGATCCACAAAATCCAGCTAATCCCAAACTCCGCTGTCCGCATACGTACCCGCACTAAACTCCGTACTGTCGTCGTCAACAACAACGACGACGACGAAATTACATTTGCAAAGCGCCTTTCAGGTCGGGAGGACGTCCCAAGGCGCTGGACAGACAGAGTTTCGGATCCGAGCTGGGGGATGGTGTCGGGGAGGGGGGGGAGCAGGGAGATTGAAAGCGCGGTCAAAGAGGAGGGTCTTGAGATGGGTCTTGAAGGTGGCGAGGGAGGGGGCGAGGCAGACGGAATGCGGGATGAAATTCCAGAGGGTGGGGGCAGAGTGGCGGGAGGTCCGCCCATCAATAGTGGGGCGAGCAAGGCGGGGGGGGACGTGAAGCAGGCCGGAGCTCACTGAGCGGAGGGAGCGAGCAGGATGGTAGGGGGTTAGGAGGTCGCAGAGCAAAACTGTGGAGGGCTTTGAAAGTGAGGACCAGGATCTTGAACTGTATCCTCTGTGTGATGAGAAGCCAGTGGAGTTGGGCAAGGATGGGAGTGATAGGATCGCAGAACGTAGTGCGGGAGAGGACATGGGCTGCAGAGTTCTGGATCATCTGCAGCCTGTGGAGGGAGCAGTTAGGAAGGCTGATAAGCAATGAGTTTGCATAGTTGTGTCTTGATGTAATGAAAGCATCACAACAGTTCTAGCCAGACTCCAGTGGCTCTCCATCACCGAACGGATCAACTTCAAGATCCTCATACCCGTCTTCAAATCCTTCATGCCCTGGCACCTCCCTACCACTCCAACCTACTTACTCCCCAACCCACTACCCACTACCTCTGCTCGACTGGCTCCAGCCTCCTGCATGTTCCTCGTGTCCTCCATTCCACCATTGGCGGCTGTACTTTCAGCCACTACCCCCGAGACTCTGGAACACTCGTTCCCCTATCCCTCCACCTTGCCCCCTCCCTCCTTCCCCATCTTCAGGTCACGCCTGAAGACCGTCCTCTTCGAGAGAGAGGGAGGGCCCGTGCCCCTCGACCGTCAAGCGCTCTGGGACGCTACCCTTTGTGAGTTGAAGGACCGCCTCGTAAATGCAAGTTGGTGTTGTGTCGTCCGGACGAGGGCCTGTATATCATATCGCACGGGCGACGATTGTGCGGTTGGTTCGCCCACAAATATACGGTCAATTCACTTTACAGTCTGTCCCGTGAAGCCCTTTGAGACGTCGAGAAGACGTGAAAAGCGCTATATCGAATGCAAGGATTATTATTATTATATTATTATTATTGTGTCTTGTGGAGTCTTGTAGCTCAGTGGTTAGAGTGATAGACCTAAGTTCAATTCCAGGCAGAGAGCGAAACTTGGGCAAGTTTCCTTACTCCACACAGAGCCTAATAATAATCCCTCATAAAACCAAAAACAATAATAAATTGGTCATTTTCAATCTACGACAGTTTGTGGGACATTGCTGTGCGCAATTGGCTGCCGCGTTCGCCCACAAATATACAGTCAATTCACTTTACAGTGTGTTCTGTGAAGCGCTTTGGGACGTCCTCCCGACGTGAAAAGCGCTATATCAAATGCAAGGATTATTATTATTATTACTATTATTAAGGAAAGAGAGTTTGGCACATGGATGAGGAGTGGGGGGGGGGGCGGGGCAGAGGCTCGCCTGTCAGTCAGGCAGTCACGTAGTCACGTGCCACACAGGAGCTGCTGGAATCCTCAGCGAGTGCGTCAGTACGTGAGTACGTGCCACGCCTCCTCCGGCCCCGCCCCCCCGTCGCCGCCGCCACCGCCGCCGCCGCCGCGTACGCGTACGCGCGCGCGTCGAGTCAATGGCCGCCGTCAACGTCCTCCTGGCACAGTGCTGCCGCCGCCGCCGCGGTCGGGGTCGAGTGACTTTAAACGGCTTTTAAAGAAGCGGCATTCGTTTCCTCAACCGGATTCCCTCCTCCTTCTTCTCCTTCTCCTCACGACCCTAAATGGAGGCCGGAAAGTGAACGGCGGCAAAAGAAATCGGGAGAGCGTTTGAGCAGCCGCTCGCGCCGGCCCGGGGGCTCGGGGGCCAGGCCGGGGCTCGGGGGCCAGGCCGGGGCTCGGGGGCCAGGCCGGGGCTCGGGGGCCAGGCCGGGGCTCGGGGGCCAGGCCGGGGCTCGGGGCTCGGTTGCTGTGGAAATGGCCGGCGGCGCGGCGCGGCGCAGGCGGTAGGGAGCCCCCCACCCCCTCCCCCCCCCCACCTCCCCCGCCCCCCGCTTTCTCGATGCTGAGAGACGCCGAGCGGGCGGCCATTTCGGGGCGGCTGCGACTGCGATGGATAAACTGACCATTATTTCAGGATGTCTCTTCTTGGCTGCCGACATCTTCGCCATCGCCAGCCTCGCTAATCCCGACTGGATCAACACGGGAGAGTCTGCAGGTCTGTTCCCCTCTCCCTCTCCCCCTCCACCCTTTCCCCCCTTTCTTCGTGTACCTCTCTGTGTCTTGAGGGGGTGGGGGGCGGTTTGCACAGACCCCAAGAGAAGGTGGTGGGGGGTGGGGGGGGGGTGGGGGGTGGGGGAAATATATCAGTGCACCGCACTCTGCACTGCACTGTGCAGATCCTGTGGAGGGCACAAACTGCAGCTCCGGGTGCAGTTTACACTTCTTGCTGTCAATTCGGGATAATCCGGGGGTGTTGTTTCCAATGCGAACACCAGCTCCTCCTCCCTTCCAACTTTATTAATGGGTGACTGCTTAATTTTGGAGTGCATCGGTTCTGTTCCAGTAGGGATTAGCGTAGGGTGGGTGTGGAGGGGGGGGGAGGGGGGGAGGGGGGGAGAAATTGAAAGGATGCCACGGGAGAAGCTGAACCACACTCTGGTCAGGTTGCACGAACCGGTCGCTGGAGCGTTGTGGAACGAACCACGATCGACGGGGTCCAGACAGCGCTGTTTGGACGTCAGACGAGATGTCTCACGGAGATCTTCTCGAGTTGAGTTGCGTGGGGTTTCAAAGGGGGATTGAGAAAGTAGACCCAAAGCATCACTCTCAGGTGTGCCAGAGCAGCAGGACAACAGGACCACAGGTCAACTGAAGCGAAGGAGCTGTTTCGACGACGACGACGACGACAACGACGTTGCAGTTGTATAGTGCCTTTCCCATCAGGAAAGAATAAAAAAAAATTTCAGGACTGACATCCGAAAAAAAAAAAAAATCGTTTCTACCCAGAGAACTCGAGAAATGTTTTGTGGTCCCGGGTTGAGACTTCAATACGCAGTGCTGGGGCTTTGCTGCATGATTGTCGAGGTGCCCTTTGGATAAGGCAGTGAATCAAGGTTGGGTCTGTCTACTCAGACCTGTTAAAAATCCCGTTTAAAGTCACTATTTTTAAAAAGAGAGCTTCTCCCGATCTCCTCCCTGACAGTGCATATAATTAGTGACTGTTTGTGGAACATTGCTGTGTAACTTAGCTGGCATGTGTGCCTACAAATAATAATAATAATAATAATAATCCTTGCATTTGATATAGCGCTTTTCACGTCGGGAGGACGTCCCAAAGCGCTTCACAGAATATACTGTAAAGTGAATTGACTGTATATTTGTGGGCGAACGCGGCAGCCAATTGCGCACAGCAATGTCCCACAAACAGTCGTAGATTGAAAATGACCAATTTATTATTGTTTTGGGTTTTGGAGGGATTATTATTAGGCTCTGTGTGGAGTAAGGAAACTTGCCCGAGGTTTTGCCCTCTGCCTGGAATTGAACTCAGGTCTCTCGCTTGCAAAGCGAGTGCTCTAACCACTGAGCTACAGGAATGCACAATCACTACACTTTACAGAAATCTCAAGTGTTTTGTGACATCTTGACATAAGATACTGGACACATGGTATTATTTTATTATAATTAATAACTGGAATTGGATGCCTGAAAGGGTTTTTGAGGCTAGGATTCTGGGTTAAGAAACCGCTTAATGCTGCAATCGGAGGATGAATGGATGGGTATTATGAAAGGATGAGATCAAAAGAGCCAAAAGGGCTTTTCTTCAACTGAAGCGATCTTGTGAAACACTGCTGTTTAGTATTATCATGGATGGGGTTGGGACAACCAAAACAAAATAAAGTTACTTGAACCTGATCCAATCTCCTTTGCGATAGAAGTGTGTGGATTTCTTAAGTTACAGATGAGTGATGTCTATTTGTCCAGTGGTTGGTCATGCTTTACCAACCTTATCAATTCTAATAATAATAATCCTTGAATTTGATACAGTGCCTTATCGGTTCTTTGAGACCTATTAAAGCACTTCAAAGAGTTATTGTAAAGGTCTTTCATTTATGTTTTAAATATTGTAAATATTCTTTGAAGATGTAACCAGTATAGTAGATGAGGGTACTGCAATAGCGATCTGGAAATTCAGATTCACACATTTCTAAAAGTAGCTACATGGTTAGATAAGGCTATTTAAAAAAAGAGTTTGGTTCTTTATATCCAGAGGGATAGTAAAATATAAAAGTGAGGTGATGTTGAATTTGTACAAAACCTTGGTTTGACACATTTAGACTACAATGTCCAGGTCTCGTCTCCATATTATAAGGATATAGCAGCAATGGAAAGAATATGGCATAAGTTTATTCGGATGATACAGTGCTGGCAGGTCACAGCTATCAGGATAGACTGGATAGGTTAGGCTTTTTTTTCGCAAGAGAGATGTTTTTAAGAGGGGACCTAATAGAAGTGTTTAAAATTAGAAAAGAGTTTGATATGGTTAGCAATAATCAGATGTGTCCACTGGTTATGGAGTCCATAACCAAGGAACACAAATATAAGATAGCAAAAGAGAATTTAGGAGGAATTTATTCATGCAAAGGGTTGTGAGTTTAATTTTTATGCTAAACAAAGTAACTTCCTCTTGAATGCATCAATACTATTTTGATTAACCACAGACTGTGGTTAGCCAAATAGTGTAGATGCATTCAAAAGGAAGCTAGACCTTCACATGAGGGAGACAGAAATTGGAGGATATGAACGGAATAAGGAGTTGGAGGGCAAATGAGTAAATGCTGGACGGGCTGTTTCTGTGCTGTACATTTTTTGTAAATTTTCCCTAACGTTTCTTTAGATTTTTTTAAAAAAGGGGAAAGTTTTACGGTGAAGTTGTCTGTATAAAGTATTCTTCCCAAACTGTGTAAAAAGACTTGGTTTAGCATAAAACATCAGTTCCTGAATTGCAAGTTGATTGTTTCATTGCATTTTCCAATCTGAAATTAGTTAGAACTGCTCACTTTTTTTTAAAAAAAGCTGTTTTGTGGAGATTTTAAATGATTTCAGTTAAAATCAACACATAGATGAAAAACCTTTAGAGAAGACAACAATCTTCTAATAAAGTGTATTTTATTGTTAAGCAATTCTTTCCGAACAGGTTTTACTTTCTGAATATTGTAAAACATGAAGGTTTTCAAATGTAACAATTGGGAATTGTTACTTTCATAAATGCTGTGAAGATACGCGATTTACGTGATTGCTAACAATTAAATACTTTGAAGTAATAGTTTTGCTTCCTGCCTTTGAGTACATTTCTGGCATGGGTAGTTGAAGAACTGAAGGTAGGAATAAATTGGAGCAGATGGTGGCAGCTGATCTGTAAATCTTTGTGATCTTTCAATGAACGCACTTTAAGGTCATTTGACAACCCATTTAAATAGATTTACATAGATTGTACAGCACGAAAACAGGCCATTTGGCCCAACCAGCCTGCGCCTCCATGTGTGTAAGTTACCTTTTGTAAAACGAAAGCAGACATACTTTCCTATCACTGTTGTCTATTACAGAGAGTATAAGAATAATGAGGTGTGTAATTTTGTGATCTATATCAAGTGTTTGGACATTTTAATGATTTGGCTTGTGGCTATTCCTTTCAAAATACAGTATGTTACTTCTAATAACTAACTAATAACTGTCAAACTGTAATACTAGGAGGCAGATGTAAGTAGCTAACAGATTTACCTTTAGTTCATGTCTATAATTTTGGCTAAATGTTTTTTGTTTATATGCCAAAATCATTATTGTTGCTGGATTTATAGTGCCAATGGTGAATGCATCACCTTGTAGTTCCTTACATTCTCTTTCACTTGACTCATTTTTGTAATGGGTTTATTTATTAGTTATTTACAGATCATCATTTTTTCTGATTGAGCTATTCATTTAGGTCTTGTTTGCCTTGTGATTCAGGTGGATATTAAAGGATACTTCCCACTCCTCAGCTACCAGGACCACTATTTCAAAGAAATGTGTGTGTGTGTCCGTTATCCTGGCCGATATTCCCATTGAAATTTACCCCAAAATTCAAATGAATTGGCTACTTATTTCATTGTTTGTGGAATGTGGCTGCTACATTTCCCTGTACAATAACATTCACTTTACTTCTAACTAATATTCTGTAAAGCCCTTTAAGATGTTTATTTACATGGAAAGTGCTATATAAACAACAATCAAACATCCAAGCATTTATTATGTCTAGGCTGACTACGCCAATTCCCTTCCCAACTCTTCCCTCCACAAGCTGCAGATCATCCAGTACTGCAGCTCACGTCCTCTCCGCACCAGGCTCCGTGACCTTATCACCCCCACCCTCACCCAGCTCCACTGGCTCCCCATCCCCCAAAGGATAGAGTTCAAAATCCTCGTCCTCGCTTTCAAAGCCCTCCATGGTCTTGCTCCTCCTACCTCTGTGACCTGCTAACCCCATATCAACTCCCTCTGATCATCAGGCTCCGACCTGCTCCATTTCGCCCACCCATCCTGCCCCAACAGTCTCTCTGCCCCCATTCCCACAGTCCTTTCGCGTTGCTCTCTCCCATGCCTGAAGGCATGTCTCAAGACACTCCGCTTGATTGCACCTTCAGCCACCCTCCTACCCTTCGCCTCTCTGCACTCCTCCCCCCCGATCCCAACCCCTGCTTGGGTCCAAAGACCTGACTGTCCAGCACTTTGGGACGTCCTCCCAACGTGAAAGATGCTGTACAAATCTAATTTGTTGATGTTTACTGTAGGTTTGTGTGATCAGACCAAGCATTTGCCATCTTCACTATTGAAAATATCTCTTGTTAAACAGAGCAGTTGGAGGGAGATGATCAAAGCAATGTTAATAAAATCAATATCCTTCAAAGCAGAATTTTAAAATTCTGACGCAGCTCCATTAATTCAATCCCTGCTGAGTAGAGAGGGCACTTATGCCCAGAGACATCTCCTTGGCAGCTGTCAGTGCCACTCCTTGTGTAACATATCAGGCCTCATGCTGTAGTGGTGCAAAATGGAGCTCTCATTGACTGTAGGCCTTGAATGTAAGCTTACTGGGTCTGAACAGCAGCAATAACCTACAGTTCTCTTGACAATTTTCCTTTATGCCAGAATAGCCAATATATGTTAGAATTTGTTTACTAT